GAGATTGCTAGCAGCTATACGCCCCCTCCCCCCCCCCCCAACCGCCAACTGAGAGAGAGAGAGAGAGAGAGAGAGAGAGAGAGAGAGAGATAGAGAGAGAGACCATGCATGCATACTATATTCCCGAGTTGAAGGCGAGGGAATATTATTTACCCCCGAGATCAGGCGCGCATCCAGGATTTCTTAGGGGGGAGGCCCAATTTGAAATCAATTTTGAAATTAAGTGTGCTGAAAGTAGTGAGCAGTATATTTTTCTTTTCTATTTTGACCCCGAAAATTTGAAAATCGCGCCGGCCGATATTTCAATCAGTGGGGAGGGGGATGGGGTGGCATAGTGAGCGCTTTTTATTTTTCTTTACTCAACACCCCCCCCCCCCCCCCCCATTTCTTTGATTAAAAAAAAGGTAAATTTCTGGTCACAATATTTTCTTTTTCCTTTTTTTTTGCCCGTCTTTTTCTTTTCAAGATTACCTCTTCGATGATTCCATTGACAGAGGAGTCATTAGCTATTTTTCCTATAATTTTAAAGCCTTAGCCCATTTTCTAAAAAAAATACAACCAAGGAAAAAAGACAATAATATTGTCATTAATTGGTGTGTAAAAAACTGCACGACTGCTCTTCAAAGCACGTTGAGTACAATTTGATGGATCCAGGGTGAGCCCACTCTGACATGTTTCAAGTACACACAAGAAACAAAATTTGCAAAAGTTACTTTAAGTTAGTATTTTATTTTAATAGCAAATACAGACCAAAGACTGCAACATTTTAGGACGTCAGTATGAAAATTATGAAGCAGCATTGGAAACGTGCAATCTATGTTCATTAGAAGCAAGACGTAAGCAGTTATGTATAGACTTTGCAAATGCACTTGTCAAACACCCACAATTTAAAGAATGTTTACCTCTTAGACAACAAAGCACTTATTCTCTAAGATCTCAATCAAAGTTTAAACAATACCAATGTAAAACAAAACGCTTCCAGTGCAGCTCTCTTCCTTACTTTATAAATCTTTTGAATAAAATGTAATATCAATATTTTAGAATTTCACAGTCCATGATTGAAATATGTGAATGAATTTTGATAGTTTTTATCTCAATTTTCTGCAATACTGAATATTTCTTGCCATCTCCCCTCATCTGTAATGATAAGGTACCCTTTGTCTGTCTCTTCCTCTCTTCAACCCTCTCTCTCTTTCCGTCTTTCTCTCCCGTCCCCTTTCTCTTTCTTTCTCTCCTTCTCTCTCTTTGTCATCACTCCAACTCTCCCTCTCCTACACCTCTCCCTATCTCTTTCTTTTTTTTAACAAAAATTTGAATCTGATCAATGAATGTTTATGAAATGTCTATGTTTGATTATTGATTTATGTCATATGTTGTGTTATTTCAATTTGAATTGCAATTGTATTGTATATAACCTTGTGAAATGGATCGCAATTCAGCCATTGGCTGCGATGATCTTTTTAATAAAAACCATTTCTATCTATTTCTATCTATCTAACACAGTCTTGTATAGGCTCTGGAGGAACCAAGAGTGCAGCGTTTAGACTAATAAAAATGCAAAAATCTTCTCGCTCGTTCGCTACGCTCCCTTGCATAATAACTTTCAAAATGTACAAGTAAATACTGTAGAAAAAGGGTAAACAAAATTTTAAAAAAACCTGCGAGGGGGTAGTCATTTCCGTCACCTTCGTTCCTCTCGTTTATTTTGCTCCCTCGTCCCTCGCATGCATTTCATCCCCCGGTCATGAAAAGAAATTGCCGCCCCTGGATGGGGCTATAATAGTGCCCCTTATTTCTTAATTCTATTTTTAGGGAAATTATAAAATGAATGATTTATTTTAAGAATCAAAAGGACGCTAGAAATGTCACTTAACAATAAAATCAATAGCTCTTAGGGGATACATGCCTAGTGTCATGACTGTGATGGATCAGGCTGTAAAACTATAGTATAAAGTTTAATAATTCCCCCTCCCCCCATTTCACTCGAAATATGTATTTTCTTGTGGTCCCTCGCTGCGAATGTCTTTGACTGTCAGTTATAGACCTATATCATGAGATGATGATTGAAATTGTATTACTATCACCAGGGGCGACGATTTCTTTTCATGACCGAGGGGGGGGGGGGGGGGCGAAATGCGAGGGACGGGGGAGCAGTGGCGTAAGAGTGTTTTTTTTTGGGGGGGGGGGGCGCAGACAAAACCGCATCACCCCCACCCTTACATGGTATACATGCAGGCACTGCGGATTTTTTTTTCCTTCAAAGTTGGGGAGGGGGGGCTAAAGTATTTTGATCAGGTAGAGCAAAGGAAGCGAAGCAAGTGGAGCGTAAAATGGCATGAGGTCCAGGGACAACGGGTCAAGGAGCATAGCCTCATGAAGCTCAGGGGTTTTAGGCATTTCATTACAGTCAGATGAGCAACCAGGGGCCCTCCAAAGGGCCCTCGGTAGTAGAGCCCCCGGAAGCCCAGGTAAAACCATGTCATTTCAGCAACAGTTGTGAATCACTGGTATCAAATTAAAAATAAACCACGTTAGAATCTTAATAGGGGCAACTGCCCCAAGCCCTCCCCCCACCATTACGCCATTGCGAGGGAGCATAGTGAACGAGAGGGATGAAGGTGACGGAAGTGATTACCTCTTCACAGGTTTTTGAAGTTTTGTGTATTATCAAATTAAATTCCTTAGCAAAACAATAGTATAAAAACAAGCAATATACCTTTTTCACACTTCATTTTCTACAATATTCACTTGTTCACTTTGAAGAATATTATGCGAGGGAGCGTTTATTTGTCTTAAAGGCCCACTGCACTACTAGTAGCTACTTGCGCCCTCTATATAACAAACAATGCCTAATCGGTGACCATTGGTCCCCCATGATCCTCTTTTTCTTATGTTAACTGAGACAGGCGCGTACGCAGGATTTTTTCAAGGGGGGGGTTTTAACATTCATAAATCGGTCCGAAAATTTCGCAACGACTCAGCCAGCCGCTGAATAAGCGGGGGGGGGGGGGGGGGGGGGGGGGGGGGGGGGGGGGGGGGGGGGGGGGGGGGGTAAGAGGACACATTTTTTTTTTTTTTGGTCCCAAAAAAATCGCAACGACTCAGCCGACCGCTGAATAAGCGGGGGGGGGGGGGGGGGGGGGGGGGGGGGGGGGGGGGGGGGGGGGGGGGGGTAAGAGGACACTTTTTTTTTTTTTTTTTGGTCTCGAAATTGGAAATTTGACATTTTGCTCCGTTGGGGGGGTAAGGTCACCTTTTTTAGGTCGGCCATGGGAATAATTTTTTTTTTTTTTTTTTTTTTTAATAATTAAAAAAAAAAAAAAAAAAAAAAACCAAAAAGGGGGGGGGGGGGGGGGGGTTTAGGTTTTTTTAGGGGGGTTTACACACAAAAAAATTCCAAAGGGGGGGGGTTTAACCCCCCAAACCCCCCCCCCCCCCCCCCCCCCCCTGCGTACGCGCCTGAACTGAGAGCTGAGTTGATGAGATAACCACCTGTCCAGTGACCTTGCAGGGCAGTCTAATCCCTCCTGTAAACTACGGCAGATAAGCTTTAACGCTGCTGCATTCTTGGGCCCTCCAGAGCCTAACAGTTTGTTGCAGTCTTTCTTTAGTCAGTATTTGCTATACACTTGTTTGGTGTGTGCACTTTTACAAATTTTCAGTGGGGACGACCCGGGATCGCCGCCCATGCTAATCACCATGACAGGCCATTTTGAATCCAGATCTTTCCGAATATCAACTTCCCAATTGTTCCTTCCCAAAAAATTATATAATATGGACTAGCCTTGACGGCGGGTAGATCATACCACATAATAGTCCATATGCAGATTCATAAGGGTTAGGCCAAAGGGGTTGCACCCCACCCACAGCTCAAGGCGTGAAAAGAAAAATATCCCGTCGAGGAGTAATTCTAAAATAGATGATGGAGGGGGAAGGGCGTCCAGACACTTAATAAAACATAAAACATTCTCTTTGGCCTTTGGATTTAACAAAAAATATTCATCAAATATCAATAACCCAGGGGCGGATCTAGCTTTTTGCTAAGGGGGGGGGGGTTTGACCAAAATAATGACGATGCGGAGCATCTTCCACGAGCCGCGAAGCGGCGATCCGATTTTTTTTGGGGGTGTTTATTTGAACTCCGTAAGTGATGTTTTCCTGGCATCTATTAACACAATGGAGACCATAAAAAGCAGTGCATGATAACGTCTTTTTAAATCAAGTAACAGTAAATACACAGTTATATCCAGAGTTATCATGTGTTTGGTTAAGTTACCAGATGAGTTGAATATCTTCTCACAATATTTGCACTTGAAAGGGTTTCTCTCCAGCGTGCGTTCTTTTTTCTTTCTTTTTTTTTTTTTTTTTTTTTTTTGGGGGGGGGGGGCCGCCCAAGGGGGGGGGGTTTTAAACCCCCTAACCCCCCCCCCGTAGATCCGCGCCTGCCCCTCCCCCCAAAAAGAAATTATAATAATAATAATAATAATAATAATAATAAATGAAATAAATACATAGAAATAGAATAAAATAAAATTACAAGTTTAAAAAAAAAGATAAGATTTAAAAAAATGGTCCCCGGATTTTTTTTTGGGGGGGGTTGCAACCCCCCAACCCCCCCTCTAGATCCGCTTCTGTAACCGTCATATTTGTCCTTTACAATATCGTCGAACAACGTAATGACTTATATGTACTTAATAACTTATTTCATCCTAATTGCAAGATAATGTGTCCTATCCATATACTTAAGTATATATCTCTATGGTCCTATCATATTACCTTACCATTACCCTTGAGGGAGACAGTCTAGTCGCGACGAAGTGGCGCTTACACACACACAGATGGATATCAGGCTGTGCGATGTAGTTAGAATATTATAGAGAGCCGAAAGGTATTGGTAGAGTCGCGCGCGGCGCCACAGTAAAATCGTCCGTACCGGTACTTAGCGCTATGCAGTCTGCATGCATGCCTCGCAGAAAAACGCGCGCGTGCGCACCGCAGCACAATATCTTTTGAGAGATTACAAATGGTGGTGCTCTACTGTGAGGTCAACTCTCGCCATCTTGCGAGAAGCTGGAAAACCCTGTGACAATATTGGGGAAACCTATTTGAAGATCAGTGGCTTGTCACGACATATTTTACGAGAAATAAACCCTTGAATACTGCAGTAATTCGATGTGGACGAGAAGCTGTTTGCATCATCGTATTTGACTCAAAAACTTGTAAAATGACGAGGCAGTAAAGGCGGGGTGTGAACAATTTTGCAGTTTTAAATAGTAAACTGTATATTGCATGGCTATGCAGCTGGATTGAGCTGAGTCTACAGCACGAGGCCGTAATGAGAGTGACAAGTTTTGTGAACAAAGTTTGATGTAAAGCCAGGATTGTTTCTGCATATTCAACGTTGATTTGGTCGAAATTTGGCGTAAACTGATACTTTGTGCTTCTCGAGGAGCTTGGAGGCTTCTCAGAAGGAGTACATCTGTGCCCATTTCAAGCTACTCACAATTTCTTGGGGATCCAACTCCAAGTCCAACTGGCCGAAGTGGTCGATTTAGTCCATTTTCATTTGTGCCAACTTTGTTTGGGCACAGTACTGTATGTTCCAGTCTGGCGAATTTTGTAGAAAACAAGCCAAACTCCAAGATGGCCAGCATGAGCAGGGCCCGAGTCTATGCTGATGTGAACTCTCACAGACCCAGAGAATACTGGGACTATGAATCACATGTTGTTGAATGGGGGTAAGAAACTTGAGTCGTTGGGGAAAATGAGTATGATCGGAAGCCTTATCATTTTTATGTAGTAAATAGTATAGAGTATGTATGCGCACTCCACATTCAAACACAATTAACATTGATTTTCTCGTACATTCCTGTGATGATTATAGACAATATCATTGCTTACAAGTTGCATGTACATTCCAAAGAGTACGGTAAGCGTACCAAAAGTCTCATCAAAATTTGAGCAAGAACAATGCAATGTCATTTTCACAAGAAAATTAGAAGTGCATGTAGATCTAGTCTACTTATGTATTGTATGCACACTTGTTCATTGGTTAGGGATTTTTATGTGAATGATTGATAGCATCATCAGATCATATGGCTACTCAATGAAATAGTAAAATCACACTCTTCTCCATGTTTTGGACTCATTTATGGCATGAATCTGTACTAGGCCTACCTAGATCTAGAGTCTAGATCTACTATAGTATAGTAGAGACAAAAAGTTGTAATTAGTATATTTGTTGTGCGTTTGAGAATTGTACGGCTCTGCACATGTGCAGAAAAGGGGCATTGTACAGACATGCTAGCAGCCCTTGCCGTACAATAAAAAATGTTAATGGACAAACAGAAAATTTGTTGGTTTTGTAGCTTGTCTTTTATCAAATTTGAAGTGCAATTTGTTTCCCCTTCCAAAATTGTTAATACACCTTTGGCATAGACAAGCTAATCTAGAGGTCTACATTGGGGGTTGGGTGTCTGGACACTTAAAGAAAATAAAGCCACCACTTTTGACTTTGGATTTAACAAAATGTATACATCAAATAACATTAATCATGATTCATCATTCATAGATACTTATCCTCTATAATTACTGTAACATAAGTCTTAAAATATGTGTGAAATATTGTTTGTAAACTTCTTCAAATTACAGTTTGAAATCAACTGTTCAGATACACAACCTCTCCGGACACAACATCTGGGTATACATGCCTTACATTTACCTGTACGGGCATGTGATGTAATCTCTTGATCTACATGTAGACTAGAAAATGTTGAAAATTAATTGGGATGGAATTAATTTAAATATAGATAATGTTTAACATTAATGTTGATATTTTGATATAGTTTGTCATGTTTGTCAGTCATGTTAATACTGGTACTAATATAGAATCATTTTTTTAATTTTTTAAAATGATCAATTCAAATGAAGTGGTGAAAAAGATTTTCAAGCAGACAAGATAAAGTTTGGACAAAGTTTCAATAAATATAACAAAATATATGAATATCAAGGCAGTCATTTGCTGACTTTCCCTAGGATACAACCTACATGTATATCATCAGGGTATGGTGTTGCCTTGATGGTTAACCTTGTTCCTCTGTTTCTGTCAACTTCTGTTTTGTTTTTGTTTTCCTCTTCCCCCTCCCCCCCTTCCATTAAATGTGTAATAAAGATAGTGACAGAACGTCAGACTACTCAACATGGTTTTTGTAGCCCTCCAAATAGACCTGCCCTGTAATTTGCAAGTGTAGGACATGTTATTTTTATTTTACATCTTGTTTTTTTAAATTTTTATTGGGAAATTTAAAGGAAGTTCTGAGAGAAAAGACATTGCATCGCAAACCGTTCTTTAATAAAAAACCACCCTGAATGACTAACTTATTGATTGGTGATATAATATTGACTGATCAAGTTAGTTTTGCGAAAGAAGAATTAATTTAATGGAAAATATTTGAAACATTCATGAAAGTTCATTAAAGTTGAGATGAACCAGACAAAATATAAGGTTTTAGAAATAGAATCTCTGAAAGCCTATTTTGTGAAATCTTACAATCTTACAATTATGATGCAGACAATTGTGATAATGGACAATTCGCAAACTGGAATATATTAGGTATATTATTTAGTTCAAAATCAAATACACTTGAACATCAATTTCCAGGGTGTGTAGTCCTAGTGTGTACACTACACTCTACATACCGGTAAGCGTTCCAAGACTGTCCAACATAATCATTAATGGGATCGGGATGTGTTGAAAGCTGAATCGAATTGACTTAACAAATTCCAAACTGTAATATGTATTTCAAACTGCCCATTTTGAACTTTGAAGGTGGTACATGTAATTGCCAAAGCTTTAACATGGCCTGAAAGCAAAAGCATGCCTGTTCTATACAGGTAACATGACCCTCCTACTTTGAATGAATTCACCTTTTCATAGCTTTTTCGTTTTCAATTATGATTTCTTGGTCAATATTTGAAACATCATTGTTCGAAATATTGTTATGGGATTATTCCCCAGTACTTTCTGTTTTAGTCAATTTCTGTAGTCAAAAGGCGGTATTTTAATTACTGGTAAATACTGGTATTTACCGGCCAACCCTGGGGCTGTACATGTAGAGCCCTGTCACATGACATTTAGATGTTATCAGTGAAAAAAAATACTTTAAACATTTCAGGGGTTACTTTTCAAGCTTGCTTGCATGAAATTAACACTCTTTTTTTTATTTTGCATTGAACTCTATGCAATTTGGGGGGGCTCTTTTATGACTTTCAGGGCTCTTTTTGGCATTTCGGGGGCTAATTCGCCCCGAGCCCCCATGTATTTTTCCCCAGGATGTTATGTTTCAGTTTTCAGATGAGGCATCTGCATGTTGGTATATGATACAACTATATTGCCATTCTTCCTGATACAAATGTATTCTTTTCGCCAGAGTAAAGTTTGAACATCCTGAAGAAAAATAGTTTTCTGGTAAGGGGATAATTTTAGTTTGTAATTTAGTATAGTCTCGACAAATTCCTATTTTATTTTCTACCCTGGTGGGCCTTGGCCCAAACATGATACTTACCCCCAACCTAAACCCTAACTGAAGTCCAATCATAACCAAAGCCCTAGCTTTTGACAAAGTAATGTCCAGAGCAAATGTTAGAATGAAGAATGTGGGATTTCATCTGAAAACAGGCTGCTTGACTGTCTATCGCAAGACTTTACCTTTCATCACAGCATTTTCATGCATTTTTAAATTTATTAACTGAAGACCAATATCTCTCCCCATTACCAAACTTCCAAGTCCTCTTTAACGAAGTAATATTAGAAGCCGATATTTTTAATTTATCGTATATGGTATACTGGCAATGGCATGGTACCAAAAATGTTCAGAGCAAAATACGTTTTGGTGATTGGTCCCCTCGTTAAGCAAATTTATGGATATACCTCATCTTTCTGATGTTGAATGTCTACATTTCACAAGCACGTGTTTCAGAGAAAGAAAAATTTGAACACAATAAAACTTGTTGTAAACAGTTGTATAGCTACACTTAGCATTGATGAGGAGTCCAACTTACACATTATTTTGGGTGGATTTCAAGAGTATTAAAAAAGGCAAAGGACCTCATGAAACACTTTTCTTAAACTATTAACAATTGTATTTTTTATATGATCCATTTTTTTGATAATCCAAAAGTAGAATTTTGCATGATTAGTCCACTATTTATTTTTAAACCCCTCTCCCCTAAGAAAAAAGGTATTCACAAACAAAAAAAGAAAAGAAAAAAACAACCTTTAAAGGTAGCTCTCAAAATTAGTGTCACATATTTTTTTTTTACAATGTACATGCACATCATTACGGTACATTACAGAATGTACACTGTACATGTAGAAAGACTACAATAACTGTATGGAGACATTGGCTGGTGGATGCCAGGTGCCCTTATCAGTGTAATTAAAAAATATGGCCTGTCAGCCTCCCAACTTGTCTGGTACGCACCAAGGGATAACACCATTCTCAAATCATATCCATGATAAAAGGATGATCAAAGAAAAAAAAATGGATTGGTTGTTGGCTATGCTCTGTTGATATGATGAGAGCCAGGTGATCCATTGTGTACTGTATGATGTTGCTAGGTTGTAGACTGACTGATGCTATTAATAGTGACAAAACTTATGATTACATTGTGTACATGACTTTTATGAGGAATAAGTGACATTTACATGTACATGTACATGTACATTCTATAATTCTATTTTTCAACAAAAAATTGTATATTAATTTTTACTATTTTAGAGGCATAAGATTATTGTCTTTCTATGAACAATTTTGATTTTAAATTTTTAATAGAAAATAGCAAATAAAGTGCTGTTGATGTATTTGCCAGTTTTGCCTATAGTTCCATGTTTATTAAAACAAATTCTGTAGAAGTATAAGTTAGCCTTAAAGTGGAGGACATATTGGATTATTTTTGCTAAGAATTTGAATAATTTTAAAGAAGATGACAGGGATGGTGTTTGAAAAGCTTTAAATTTACTTGTGCTAGATGCTTTTTTATGAGGAACTCCCAGATTCTGGCTTACTGTACATTACATGTACATGTAGATATGCAGATAGCAATTTTATCATTTCTGAGACAAAGAACTTGAATATTCTTTTTCTCAGCCATCAATGTACAATAGCCTATTGTAGATAGATGTGTCATGCCACAGTCATCGTTTTTGTATGATTCACTTGTATTGGCATATATTTCCCAGCCACTGTGTAGGCCTACATTTATATGATACACAGATGGGTCTATTATTTGTATAATATACTTTGCGTAAGCGTAATGTAAATTTCCTACATGTTTACTACATATGCATTTCCAGGAAACATTTAACCCTATCTTATATCGAGCAGCTGTTTTTATCTCTGGTCAGTTCAGTTGTTATTATGCCTCCACCAATGCCTGACTTGTAATGAACGATGCAGGGTGGGCATTATACTGTACATGTACTCAGTAGCCTCATATACTGTAAGGTCTTCCAGTGATATGCACCGTCAGAGCTATGTGCATGCCTTCGATATTAATCATGAGTAGATGACTTAAAGATCAAATGGCTTATCCGAGTCAAAGCAAGTCTCTAGGATCTGAGAGAAGGCAATAAGGCATTTATTACAATGCATGCATTGTATTCTGTAACAGGGCTCTACACTCATGTTAAAGGATCACTTGAAGGATATTTTAAAAGAAGGGATTTTGCAATTTGCATATTTTGAATTCTCTGAATTGTAGAGGTTTGCACTACGATGTTTGCTCTCAGATCAGTGTTAAAATCATTATCTTCACATGAGCTCTCTCTCTTGATTTTCTTTTTAAATTGGAAAAAAGGTGAGATTTATGTAGAAGTGTCTTTGTAATGTTTGGTATTCTGAAGAAAGCTGTCAATGGGTGCAAGAAAATAATACCGACCTAATGGAATGTCTATTATATTCAATGATGTACAAGTGTCTGCACACTTTTTTTAATTTATGCAAAACGCGTTGGTATGTACATATCATCAAATGATGTTGAATAGCAGCACCAAGTCCGTCCTTGAAGATACCCCTCCCCCCCCCCCCCCCCAAAAAAAAAAAAAAAAAAAATGTAATAGTAATAATAAAAATAATGATAATAGTAAAGAATTATAATAAATAAATAAATGAAATTATTGAAATAGATAAATGAATTTTACAAACAATCTGTAATAAGACATTTAATCAAATGTAACAGAAGGTTTAGACAATTTATACTACCGGTATTCATTATTTAATAGGGTGATTTGGGACACTTACATTTCTTGTAAATACCTTCAATGTACATGTAGTCAGGGACTTTATTGTATCTGAATGATGTCAAGTCAATGGGAGTACATTTGAGTTCATGTTTAGTACACATGTTCGTCTCACCTGTCACCCTACCCCTTGTTTACCCGACCTTTAAGAAAAGGGTTAGTCTCTTGGAAACTCCCTCACTGGCAGCAGGCCATTTATTGTTGACTTGGAAGCAGAAGGGCTCTAAATACACATGTGTAGTGTCTGTTGGTATAATTGCAGTACATTGTAGAACTGGTTTGAACCCCCACCCCAAAGGATGTGATTAAAGATTTCTAAATTGTACTTCCAAATGAAGAAATTAGGTTTGAAAAGCTCTGTTACATGATGTGGATAAAGACCCCCCAAATAAAGGGCATCTTTCAAAAGAATTTTTCATCTTTTATTTTGGATGCACTTGCCTGCCCCCCCCCCCCCCTCAACCACATATCCAGTCACCTACATGTACAAAAAAGGATGGAGACTAACAAATTAAGGGCATTTTAATATAACAAGAAATTTCTATCGTTTGTTTTGGACACTCAGATGCACGTGGCTGCCCCCCCCCCCCCATAACACATATCCAGTCACATACAAAGAAGGGGGGGGGGGAACAAGAAATAGAATGTTTTAACATCCATGATTGAAACAGAGAAAATTTATAACTTTTTAACTTCTAGGGGAGGGAGTCAAATTATGTGTGCAATGTATTATGTGCACGTGTAAAAAGCCTCTCTCCATGACAAGCCATAACGTTTCCATGTAAGAAAGAGGGTCATGACATCTCCTCATGTGGCATCCACATCTCAATATAATCTATAGTTCTATACTGAGAAAAATGTTTGTTTTTAGAATTCATTCGATAAATAGGGCATGTTAATGGAAGTCATACCTGAATTTCCAGGGACCATGTTGTAAGCTATAAGTAACTAAAGACTGTACTCCTATCTCTTGTTTATGTGTCTTAGCATTGTATTAGTAGCCTGTAATATATACCAGCTAACATTCTGGATGGTTCAGAGGTCAATGATCAATTAACCAGAGCTGAAATCCAGAGGCAAAACATGGCCCCATCCGATGATACTCCTTGTCTACCCTCATCACCCCGGGATGCAGATTCCTCAGATGCTACTAGATGCATGCACCCGACCTACCAGTCGTTAAAACACATACATGTGTAAATTGTACAGAGCGGCATGTACAGACACCAGCACTGTGCTGGTTCCAGGCTCTATATGAATGTCTATTCGATTAAGAGTTGACAAGTTGCCTTCGTGAAGCAGTCATAGACAACTCCTGCTCTCAACGACTCCTCTGTAGCACTGTAGTTCATCCTATTCATAGGTTGTGGATGTGGAATGAATGAACCATGTCCACTGCCATCAAGGGTTGCATCATCGCCTTAATGGCTGTTCTTTTCTTTTTCTTCCAATGCTGTTGCAGGCAACAGGATGACTACCAGATCGTTAGGAAGCTGGGAAGGGGCAAGTACAGTGAGGTCTTCGAGGCAGTCAATATCACCAGTAATGAAAAGTGTGTCATCAAAATCTTGAAGGTGAGTTGATTTTTTTTCTTTGGAGAAAAGAGGGATAAATTAACGCTAATACAATTGCTTTTCAAGAGGAACTGGCTTGAAGGAATTATAGAATTGTTTAGATGTGCTCAACAGTTGTTTGTGTCAAAACAAAATATTTAAAAATAAAGAAAATACAAGAAATCACAATATCTATACAGGCATAAGACCAAATGTTGTGCTCAAGGTAGGGACAGCTTGCTTGGTTTCCTTACCTTTATTTGCATATTGCTCTTTTTATCAAAAATATATGCCAGGTGTCATTTATCTTGTCTAAAACACTCTGTTAATGATTTTTTAGATTCAGTGATTACCGGTACTTATTTTTTGTTATGATCAGAACTCAAAGTTCACCATTAAAGCATACCATAACCATAAATGTTATGTTTTGCTAGGTTTTGAGACTGAGATAATACACAGATGGTTTCTTGTACATGGACATTGTGCACAAAGATTTCAGTAAAGCCTCGGTCACAAATGCCATTACGGACTGCTACGAACGCCGTACAAACGATTTTCAGACAATGGAAATTCAGGAAGACAATGGAAAAACGGAGATTCGTACAAAAAAAATCGTTCGTACAAATCTTTTGTGACCGTAGCTTAACATGAACAGGCGTGGTTATACCTGGGAAGGGGGCAGGGCTTCAGGATTCTCATTAATTTTCTACATTCACTGTACATGTATGTCTCACTTAAATTTATTTATAATTAATCATGGGGGGGGGGGGGAGAATAGTGGTTTGAGAAAGTTTTAGGGGGCTTAAAGGAAACCTAAACCCCCAAAATAAGTGTAGGTATTCTGAAAAATGAGATGTATTCCTTCCCTTTGATGTACAATATTCCTTACGAAAATATACAAGATATGTATAAATGAAGATATTCCTGGCATGATGTGATGTCTGTCAGCATGACATGGGCGCAGCCATTTTCTTAAAAATGTGACGTATCTGTTGAAGTTGTATCATGCACCAAGCTTTAGTTGGAAAGAATTGTTAAATCAATAACAAAACCTTTAGTTTTCAATGAAAAAAAATAACTGAGATGATAGAAATTATATTAGGTGAAAAATAAATAACAGGGGCACAATTGTAACAAATTCATTTATAAATACTACACTATAGCAGTTGACAAATCTATTTCATTTATGAGAAACCTTCAACCCAGAAGAGCACTAACTAATTTATGCAATTTGCATTCTGGCAATTATAGTACAAAGGATAATAGCAGGTGAATGAAATGCTTCATCACCACACACGTCTGGGAAAGAAGCATCCATAAATTTGAATACATTTACTTGATAAACGACTTCGCATAGTACGTCACATTATCAAGAAAATGGCGATGCCCATGTCGTGCTGAGAAACTGTACTTTATTTTTGCTCTATACCTCTCTCATACACTTTGGTGGGGAATCTTGTAGATGTATGGGTAATAAAATAATAAATCTCTCAGAATAAGTAAAGTTATTACTTGGGGTTCGGTTTCCTTTAAGGCTCTGAAGCCACTCTGTAGAACTGCAACTTTTGAAGCAGCTAAATGTAATACAGTTATAAGTTTTGAAGCTTGCCAGTTGCCAGTATCTAAAATGTCCATGTTTTGATGAGTTACAGCTGTATATGTGTAATTGTGTTCTTTTAGCAATCTCTTTTGCAAATGGTGGGCATAGGTAAACACAAATAATGTTTAGCTCTTAAAAGATTTAAAAGCTAAACCCACAGAAGCCAAACAAATTCTTAATTCTCTGGAGTTAGAGAAGGAGATCTGGGCCTGGGCAATTAACAGAGGAAAAACAGATGAGAGCATTTTCGTGTTCCCAGAGGCATTCTTATTTTCACAGTGCTACTCTACCCAAATCTGCAGCAGATATTTTTGGAAAACAGGAATAATAGTCAATGGTCATGTCAAGTTAATTTGTATACAGTGTTGAAAAAACATGGCATAAATGGGATACAGAAAAACTTATTATTTTTATCCAATTTATTTCAAACATTCATCATTTTGTTTGCCTTATTTTTCTGATTTCACACAAATGAACTTATTTCAAAGGTTGGATTTCCATCTCATTGTCTCAAAATTTGTTAGTCATTATTTGTTTTATACTAGAAACGAAATACATATATTGTCAAGGTGTCGCTTTCTTTCAATACATGTTCGTAGTTATCACTTCTCATTCTTATTTTTCAATGAACAACAATGCCTGTGTGTAGGTGGGTGTTTTAGACTTGTGAGTATGTGCCAAGTATCCATGTATCACACACATGCAGGCATTCAATTCTCAGCTCAATCTGTTTGGATTTGTTTGCACATTCACCTCATTACTTCCAGGATACATGCCGGTAACAATTAAAGAATGATAGCCTATTGGAGAAGTTAAACAGATCTTCCTACATGTACATGAACATGTATGTGTACAAAGCATGAGGCACAAAAGAGAGAGGGAGAGGGAGAGGGGGGGGGGGGGGAATATACCTGAAATTGAGAAGCTATAGGAAGTGGAGGGGGTTGGGGAGGTGTAGTGTATAAAAAAAACTGGAAAACTGTCCTAGATTAAATCTTACTTAATAAACACAACAAGAAGTTCACATGAAAAGTTTATCATGCAAAATGGTTACGGTAAATTTGAGGTTTAATATACAATGTGTTGAATGGGCACTGCTTTCACAAATTTGTTCAACACAACTACCACAGTATAAATAGTAATACCCGTAGCCAAGCTTGAAATAGCCTTTGTAAAAACACTGGAGTGTTTTCCAAGGTGAATAACAAAAACTAAAAAGAGCTCCTTTGATATTTTTTTTCCTAATCCTTGCGAGGCACTAGCCCCTGTTTTCTTTTCAGGTTGCATAGTAGATTGGCTCTCGAGCCTCTCATGCTTGCATTCCCCCTGTGCCAGGTAGAATGGTATTTTACTCTCTCAGACTGTCACTGTAACCCTATCTGTTCTCCTTTTTTTGTTACAGCCTGTGAAAAAGAAGAAGATTAAGAGAGAAATTAAGATCCTGGAAAATCTAAGAGGGGGTCCCAACATCATAGCACTACAAGCCATTGTTAAAGATCCTGTGGTGAGTAATTAAGTTTTAATTCTGTGATATCTCCCTTTAAAAGTATCATGTGTTGACTCCATATACATGTATTTTTCAGTGCTGTGCTGTATAAAGTGTAACTCGGTACTCGGTAGGTTACATGCCTGAAGGTGAGTTACAAAGTCCGAATTCACGCCTGCACTTTGTGGGAAGTAATTTTTCTGTGAGGAAATAGGCTGTAATATTCACAGCATCAAACAGAGAAGTGAAAAATTTATTTGGAGATTTGTTGCCCATGTTAAAAAATAAAATTAGTCATGGTAAAAATGTAAACTTCAAGTTCACTTGTTGGCAGGGTATTCAACATTTTCACTGTCCTCATTTACTGTACAATTGGCTACTATGCATATTTAATTGGGTCTTGGACTTCTTGCTATTTTTATGAAAATTTTAATGATACACAGACAGAGTCTACAAATCACATTTTTTTCTTTACATTTACCTTCTTTACATCTTTATTTTCATCTTTATTTTCATTTATATTTTGGGATACAGACAGTGTACTAGAGCTAAACACAAAATAAAACACACTGTTTAAAAATAGAATTCTGTAATCAATGGCTATTCTGATGAAATTTGATACAACTATCTGGTACTGTTGCGATTATTTTAGAAGAAAGAAAGAACTAGTAAGAAAACAGATTAGAATGAGAAAGGAATGTATTGACATACAATCCCAATGTTTCCATTCCTCGTACAAAAACATTGCTTAGTTTGACAGTCAAAACATAATATTTCACTGTCATTCACAAAGTTGACGAACCCTGCAATATTATACAATTTTGTTTACAATGCAATGAATGTACATATTGATAAATACAATTCTTTTTCTTTTTTGGGGGAGATTGTGAATTGTGTGATACATGTACTATTAGCTTTGTTATGAATGTAATGTTAATCTACTGCTCGTATTATTCAGTTAATATTTTAGCTACATGTGTATAATTTGCAAGTCTTGATAGACATGAATGCATTTTTATCGAGAGCAAAATCAAAATTTTCTCAGAATGACAGATTAGTGCAATATTTGGTTCTTAATTTCAATTCCAAAGCAAGTAATATAGAGAATATATTAGTAGAGATCTTGAAAAACGCTATGCACAACATAAACATCTCCTTGTGCACTCAGGCACACACATACACCCTCCCATACACACTACTACATGGTACAATGCATCGTCTCAGCGCACTGTTCCCCATTCCAGCACATGCCCACACACACACAGTCCACTGGCTACCCGCACTCACATTCCATACATGTCAGCTCAGACAAAAGGTATTCCCTCAATATCAAATTGCACTACAGTACCACAGGGAGTTAAATGCACAATGATTGCACTTCATGCTAACTGTTTTATTTGGTTTTATGTATGATTACCAGGAGGTGAACCAAACTCACAGTACTCATTACGCTGTGGCCCCAATATTACCCCCCCCCCCCTCACCTCCATGCTAGAGAAGTCCCAGAGAAATTATCTGAGAGAATTCATTCATTGTAGTATTGTTACAAGCAGTCAGACAGGACCCTTGACTATAAGGCTGTACATGTGAATGCGAATTGTGTTTTTCTTTCACACATTATAGAAGACTTGTCTGAGGCAATGCTTTGGCCTTGGGAGTGTTTGATGGGGCATATGGAAATATTTAGATATTTGTCTATTGTTAAAGGTTGAAAATCAACCATCTTTTTGTATTTTATAATTCTATTTTTAGTATTTTTATATATTATGGTGTTAAAATTGAAATTTAAGTGTGTACGTGTATAACAAGACAGGCTGATCATTGATGTTTGATAAAATGGTAATGTTAGATTAGAAATTCAGGTTTTTTGCAAGATTGAATAATTTTTTAAAATAAAGTTATAAATCTATGGGTTCAATCATGAATTAATCTAACGATCCTATGTACAGAGTATATACAGGGGTGTAGATAATGACATGAAGAAATATGAAAGTGTAGGTGAAAGGGTAACAATGTAGTCTGTATGTTATGGCAGTCAAAGTAGCAGTAAACATTTAATACAAATGTACATGACTTGTAGATTTTTAACTTTCAATTTCTTTTCTCTATCTTCACCTATCCAGTCCCGAACGCCAGCTCTTATATTTGAGTATGTCAACAATACAGATTTCAAGGTAAGAATACTTTCTACATCTAAACAACAAATCTTGAGAGAATTCCATTTTAATTGATTTCATTGTTTTTTTCCACCACTTCCCAAAGTTTATGTTCCACCTCAAAATTTGAGGGTTGATTGTGATATCTGCATCTATATTGTAATATTGGTTTTTACATTTTATTTTCTATTATAAATTATGTATGATACAAGTATGTCTCTTTTATGTGGGTGAATGTTTATATTTGGATGATCATACAACTTGATACTTACTCACAAATTGGTCAATGTACATGTACATATTACTATTAACATTTGGAAGGTCATGAAATGAGATATTCATGAGTTGGCAAATCAATACAATGTTCTCACCAATGTTCCTTTTTCTTTTCCACAAAGACATAAAGACCAATGAATTTGGGAGTTTATAAAAATGTGATGATACAGCTCCCTCCTTGTACTGCATGTAGCAAAAATGTATTTGAATACACAAAAATGGGAATTATACCATCTAGATCACTTTCGTCATGGCAATCACACTCATAACGTTTTAATGATTCTGTGATGGTATTGCCCTTGTCATTTTCAAAGCGGATAGTCCTAGTTTACCTTTTCAAATGATTTTTAACGGAAGTGAAGTGAATGGAATTATATTTATATTTTATTATTTTATTCTCACATTTTCCGCTGATAAAGTCACACATACTGGCAGGAGTTGCTATATTTTGTTATACACTTCTCTGGGAAAGATATGTTCTTAAGATTGCATCTCCTTTGCACCTCATTATACAAACCAATGGAACTATAGTTAGAGTTGACATTCAAATGTTTCTTTCTTCAAAAAAATACTTCAAATCATCCATCTATGACATCAAATATAATGAAAACAGTGTAGATGTATACATGAATATTTAAGTAGAATTCATAGTAGTGTATCTCATTTCATGACATGTTTTTACTGATCACTTCTGAGATTATAAGCACATGGAGGGAATTTTAGTTTCAAATGAAATGCATGTTTATGCCATAGAATTTGTATTTTTAATGAAAATCACTACGGTACTTGGAGCAGAATTAACCTACATACATATGTAAAAGACTTAGATTGGAAGGGCTCTGGTAATCTCAAAAGAGCTCTTATTAAAATTATAATGATGACCTAAAAATACACATAGTTAAAAAAGGAAATCTCTTTATATTCTATATGCCTGTAGCATATTGAAAAGAGCTGCAAATATTTTTTTTCTTCCCTTCTCTGGTCAGTGAAGAGAGGCAGATCGGTGTCATTTTCTATTGTAAAATCAAAATATTGGTCATGTGCAATGTATAATTATTATTATATTGCATTCTTTGAGTATCTTGGTCTTTAAATGCTTGTATTGATGAACATCTTTACATTTTTCTCTCTTTTCTTCTCTATCTCTTTCTCTCCACCATTCAGCAACTGTACCAAACATTAAAAGACTATGAAATCAGGTATTACCTGTTTGAACTACTAAAGGTAAGACATTTATTTTGTTTTCTTTCTATGCTTTCATCCAGGATTTTGTTAAATTCAACGCTTTCTCTAACCTTTCATAGTCAAATTCATAAAATCTCATGCTGACAAACAATCAATGTGTATTTATTTGCTTAAAGATTGGATGCATCATTCATACTTCATACATTAGTTGGTTCAGTCATACATCAGGTTTATCTTTTTTATCATCCCTTCTGGCATTTGAATGTATGATGTATTTCCATTGTGTGATTCTTTGAGTACCTTGGACGACATCCAATCTTCATCCACTTCAATTCTGTCTTGCATTTCTGATGAAGAAATTTCCATAGACAACACTATACATGTAGATGCTTTCTCTTTTCACACATTGCCTTGGCTTGTGTTGACATCTACACGATTCCAATGTACTTATTTGTGCTACCTTAAACAGAGCTATTTTACTCCTAACAGCTTACGAAATACTATTTTTTGTGCATAAGGAAGGTGTGTAAAGTCATGTAAAAAGATAATTTTCTCATGTACACATGTATGACACTTTCATGAATTGCACCGATGTATCAGTGTCAAGAGAAAGCTAATTGAATTACAGGAAATTCTTGTCACAAAAATAACCATTTGGTACTTACAAATTGTGGATATGTTTAAAACAGGTCACATAATTTTCTGAATTTATAGTTCGTGATGTAGGTCTTGAAAGCTCAGAAAGAGGTCGGAGCAAAAAAATATGAATGCCTTAGAGCCAATCTTACTTCTCTGTAGAAATATTTGACAATATTTTTCTTGAACAAAATATTATGACACTGTTGAAAGTCTGTATCTACTTGTTCATTATAATATTAAATGATGTCTGAAACTTCCAAGGACATCTTAAATTATGCTTTTCCTCTCTGAGATGTGAAATTTGTAGGAAAATATGGCTGCAATACTAGTTTCAATAATTTGAAAATACATTTAGATCTAAAAGAGATTTAAAAGAGGCAATTTTAAAATTTAAATTGTAATCATTGTGCATGAAGCGTTACAACATACATGCATACATTTTGAAATATTTCCAAGATTATGTTCAAAATGAAAGATTTTCCTCGCAACAGTTTATGAAAGATTTGTGCATGATTCAGTCACAAGTTCACTTTGATAAAATTAAGTACAGTACTAGTCATGTGATGACATTGTGGAGGGAAAAAAAGAAACTAGGAGCAATTTCAAAAGGTTGATTATGTAGCACTTTGATGTTTTGGAAATATGAAGTAAAATAAGTTAATTTAATCTTGCCGAAAATCATATGGACTGCACACAGAGACTGACTGGTACATGGGATTGGGATTACACTCGCATATGACATGAAGTTTGACCTTCAGCTATAGCTCATTATATTTTCAAATATGGGGTCATTTGAAGAGCAATCCCCTTACAAAGGATATTTCTACCATGTTATTCTAAGAAACTAATCTAAAAGAATGAGTCAACTCACAAATTAGCGGTATTCATCTTTTAACCCAAACTCAACCTTTGAAATTCAAGGGGGAAAGTCAGGGAAACTCAAATAGGAAGGCAGGCACCTACCCACACATTTTTTTCTCTGTTGAAATTGTCTCTAAACATTGTATAAATTGAGGGTTATACGTACAAAACTCAAACTATTCTTCAAAAAGTTCTTATTACAAAGAGGTTGTCGTTCATCTTTACTTATAAATTGGTTCATGAATTTGATTCTTTAAACCGTGATATTCTTTTTATTTCAAAGTAGTATTAAATGAAAGCATTATGTACTGTCACGTGAAATCTTAACGTGACATGTTTGTAAAGTTAGTTGCTACTGTAAAGGCTCGTTCAGATACAAAGCTGTAAACCGCAGCATTTTTTCTTCTTCTCATAACCTGTAAATAAATGGCAATTCAGTGCAGAAGGTCCTATGCATATTCACTGAGCTCTGTGTCGTAAAATACAGGATTGTAAAGCATATTACACTTTCGTCGTGGAAATAATAGGATTGAAATTTAAAAAAACACCACTGTTTACCACCTCATATTTGAGCAAGACTTAAGGGTGAATGTCTGCTTGGGCATTTTTTGTGGAAGCTGGAACTCCGATGAAATAGTTTATGGATGTGAGTAAGTTTTTAAATTGAAAGTCTGTAACTCATGAATGATGATCTTTAAAAAAATGTTTTTATTCTATGTTATCTTTTTCCAGGCTTTAGATTACAGTCACAGTATGGGTATCATGCATCGAGATGTGAAACCACACAACGTCATGATAGATCATGAAAACAGACGGGTGAGTATACTTGCAAGGCAGATCTTGGACTAAATGTACAAATCACCAAAACATGCTTTGCCCTTGATGTAAGGGCTTTCATATCACTTTACTATATTCAAATATGAGCTTCAGATTACAAAGAGATTATGTGTAATAATCATTACTTTCCTGTCAAAACACACTCACTTCTGGCCGAAGTACGCTTCCTGGCACGGTTTGCTCTCACACTGTTATTCACGTTTAAAAGCGGTCTGGAGCCGTCTAGGAAGCGAACCGGTTCATCGCGAAGTAGTCTCCTGGATTGATCCAGAGGTACACTTCCTGGCTTTCACACTGTATTCATGTACATGTAAGACCGCTCTAACGTAGACCGGTCCAGGAAATGAGTGAGAAAGGGGCCTAATATTATTATCTTATCTCTAATAGATGAAGGCCCACATGATACATGAAACATGAAAAATCAGGTTCTATTTCTTAAAATTTTAGGGTTTCTAGAATACCGGTAAAGAAATATTCAGAAAATATTCCAGAATTCTAAAGATTTTCTATATCAATAATAAATTCCAAAGTATAACAAAAATTGTGATGGTTTTTCAAATGTTTTTTAGGCTGTGTAAATGGTCCTTTAGACTTGGCACACAAATCATACTCTCGTTGTTATCTCTAATCATACAAATAACTGAACCCAAAATATTTCTATCACTTTCACTTTACATTTATATAAATGAGTAACCCTTGTGAGAGGCAAAGTGGTTTGGAGACAGTTTTGCTATTTTAGCATTATAGATATAAAGAGAATATTGGTAGTTTTCTCATTAGGGTATATTCAATGGTCATTTGAATGCTTTATTAGGGTCCTGAAAGTAACACTTTGCTATTTTTAGAACAAGTATGTAACATTATTCATTAATTACAGTCTTGATTATATGTTCAGAAATTCATGAAGTACAGAATTATAAACAGGATTTGTGTTTCAGATATCACTTTTCATCAATATTTGATTGTGCATCTCTTGAGTACATGCATGTTATTTATATCAGTTTGCTATTTATTCCTGAATGTATTTATGATTTGAGTCCGAATAATTTCTTGTTATGTACTGTCTGTTGAGAGCTGGAATGGTGTTGAATCAGTCTTGTTCAACATTAAATTAACACTGTTATGTAGAATAATATTTGAGCACCTCATTGCCAAAATACGGAGGTATTCATACCCTTGGCTGCCTGAAATAGTGAAATCATACTGTTTCAAAATGAAACGAGTGAGGAAAGAATACACTTTTTGAATCTATAATATACTATTCCTCATGAAATTACATGCTCAAGCAGTTTCTAATATGTGGTGTTTCATGAAATCAACATTAATCGAAAACAATTTTGTTCTCGTCCATTCAGCTGCGTTTGATAGACTGGGGTCTAGCAGAGTTCTACCATCCCGGGCAAGAGTATAACGTCAGAGTAGCATCAAGATACTTCAAAGGTCCTGAACTGCTAGTCGACTACCAGGTAATATAAATTATAAAGCATCTAATTCTTGAAGTATTATACCTCTAGAAAGTACTGGCAACTACCAAATACATGCTAACCTTCCTAAGGCAACATTAAAAATAAAGTCTACTTACTGTGACTTCCCAAACATTTGTTTTCATAAATAAGAAGAACCTTAGATATGTTATTATTTTCTGGATGTCACGGCATAGGATAAGAACTTTAATCCCAATAGAGGCACAGGCCATGTCCCGAGTTATGTTAGAGACACAGGCCATGTCCCGAGTTATGTTAGAGACAACATACATGTACTTAATGTTTGCGTAAGTCATGAATTATACGACTTGTGCACAACTTGAGTATTGCCCAAGTCAATGCATTTGACTCGGTCTTGTCCAAATTGACTTAAGCAAGGTTTACTGTATGTTTAATTACTAAGTGCTTTTTCATTGTTCCAATATGTGACAATGCTGCAACCAGCCTGCTGTAAAAGTGCTTTAATAATAAGAAACGATTATCATTAGCACATTCTGTTTTGTAGTGCTCTTCAAGTTTGGGCACCAATTGGCCAGAACAAACCATGGACCTCATTCTCTGTTTATATCTCCACAGCTGTACGACTACTCACTAGACATGTGGAGTTTGGGCTGCATGCTAGCAAGTATGATATTCCGCAAGGAACCCTTCTTCCACGGCCACGACAACTACGACCAACTAGTCAGGATTGCCAAAGTCCTGGGCACGGACGAGCTCTACGAGTACCTGGACAAGTATCAGATTGAACTGGATCCGAGGTTCAATGATATCTTAGGAAGGTAAAGTGAAAATTGAAGTTAAAATGATATCAACGAATACTGATAGTGGTAATAAGAGTGATAATGATCGTCAGGATTGTTCCTGGCTCTCAGTTGTCTAGTTTTACTAGCTCTATGAGTACCTGAACAAGTATCACATTGAAATGTATCCAAGGTTACATTATTTCTAAAGAAGGTGAAGTGGAAAGGAAAGCAGAATAATTATCGTAGTAGTAATAATGATACATGTAATAATAAAGATAATGGCGATTGGTAATGCTGATCTTCTAGTCAATGATGATGAATAAGTATGAATCAGAATGGAGTTTGTTGTCTGTATAATTCAAAACATTGTCCTTAGGTCTGTATAATAATAACAAAAAACAAAAATGAGCATTTGTAAAGTGCACTATTAATTTCGCAAATGCTTAAATGTAGAAAGAGGTGTGTAAGTTGATGTTTTCTAAATTAGATAGTGACATTTTATTTCCTCTACTTCACACGTGCCAGACTGACCAACTGTGTTATTGCCTGTTCACAAACTTTTGTTTTGTATCTTATAAAAAGAAGTTCATGAATGTTGATATAGTTTGGTTGCCCTATTGAGCTATTTTCAGTTGTTTGCACAGCAGCACATTTTGATTGGCTCTGATCTGGCAAGTGGGTCTTAGTATCCAGGACATCGTTTCACAAAACCTTCATAAGTTCAACGACATCCCATTGAATAATTTGTTCATTCAAATACGCTTGTTTCAATGGGTTCGTAGTGGACTTGTACTACACTGGTTTCGTGAAACACTGCCCAGGTACAGAAAAAAGACGTTAGATATACAGTTAACAACTAAATGATTCATTCCCCTTGTAAATTTGATGTTTGCTGTGTTTTTCATAACTCAAGAATAAGAGGTGGACCTGTTGAATTTGGGCCTTTTGTTTAATACGTCTAGATGTAAAAAAAAGTACAAAACTTTATAAGGGTATGAATAATTTGTTCCTATTTTCATGAAGTGACGGTAGTGAGGAAAATCCGCACGCAAATTGAATGCGATTTTCATTCGCTACCGTCACTTCGTATAAATAGGGACGAATTTAGTTAACTGTATATTGGATTGTTGATGGAGATCCCTCCAGTAGTCTCCCTGAAAATTTGATCTCAAAGGCATCGTTCACATTCTCTCCTTTCTCATGATCATTGCCTTCTCCTGCAGGCATTCGCGGAAACGATGGGAACGGTTCGTGCACAGTGAGAACCAGCATCTAGTCAGTCCAGAGGCCCTGGACTTCCTGGACAAACTATTACGCTACGACCACCAAGAGAGGGTCACCGCAAGGGAAGCCATGGAACACCCATACTTCTGTAAGGACCAGTGCTGTTTTCTAACATTTAACTGGGTTAAATACTAGTCGGTTATAAATTAATCAAATACAGTCAAAACTGTCTATAGCGACCGCCCAAAGGAAAGTTGTTTTTGTAGACAGGTTCCTTTAGCATATGTTTCAATGAAAAAACATTTTTCAAGGGAAACAAAATATCTGGTCTTTGTAGACAGGTGGTCACTAAAGCAGGTTTGACTGTATTTCATAAATGCAAGTGACCTTACATACGTATTTTAAGTGGTCCCATTTTAATGGTTATTTTATGGCCCTTATAAGATTTTTCTCTTTTTTTAAAATTTGTTATTGTAGGTATATTATTTAAAAATATTAATCATTCACCTTATATGTCTTTACCTTGCTTTATGTTGAAAGGTCTCTTCCCTATTTTGATTATTCTCCCCTACACTCTCTCTCTCCCACTCTCTCTTATCTCACTCTCCCTTTTAACTTTTAGTATTACTGTTCTAATATTTATTTTGGTCCCATTCACTGGGCTAAAAACTAGGCAGTCAAACAATGTGTATATTGTCAGTAAATTTCATCTTCTCTCTCCCTCCCTCCCTCTCTCTCTCATCAATAGACCCTGTGGTGAAGGAACAGAACAGATCGATGCCACCAGTCATGAGTACGCAACCCAACACCTCAACTAGCGCCACAAATTCAAGCAGCGCATGTAAGTCTAACGATGGGCTGTGAGTTAGTGGGAGGATGGCATATTTCGTGCCCGAGTTACAATCCATCATCTTAAAATAACCTGATGGATTGTGTTGGTTTCCTCCTGTTTTTACATAATTGTATTTTGCTGTGATTGCAAACAATAACATTCACTTCAATTGGAAATATCTCTTCAGCTTTTATGGTGATTTTATGATGGTGTTTTGTTTTTAAATGATATTCACAGCTTTATTAGTTTGCTCTAATACCATTTTTGATTCATGCCAATTATTTTTAATATGATGTACATAATTATCAGTGGGATAATTGACATTTTGAACCATTTAGGGAAATTATCAGTAGGATAAATTTGACCTTTTATGAAATTTAGAAGAACTGGGAATAACAAAATTTTGTTTCGATATGCAATATTGAAGGGATGTGAGGTCTACCATATCTGGTAGTAACAAAAAAGAAATCAATATTGTATCTTGTGGTGTATTTATGAGCATGGCTGAACTTAACCGCATCAGCGGTGTTATATGCATGCTGTAGCCGGGTAATCCTAGTCAGTGTATTTACTGTGGCTGCTTATCATATGAATGTATTATATGTCGTTTATATATATATATATATATATAGATGTTTCCCTTAAACATCCTCTTTAAAGGCTCCACATGCTTACAGTATAGACAGCACTCAGATATTGTAGTTTGCACTAATCGTATTGTCTGTTCAGGATCAGTTTTGAGGCTCTTAAAATTACTGTTATCTTCAACAACTTAACTTTAATTAGAATGGTGTCCAAAGATCTAAAGATAGTGTCATTAAATGACAGTTCAATCCCTTACAGAAAATATGTTACATATTAAAGATGATCTCCAATGCAGTTTGCAGAAATATAGTCTAGAATTTTATGAAGAAAAAGCATGATTTAATATGCTGAAACTTGATTTGAAATTGACATAATTATCTTAAAAGTACTGTTTTCTGGTTGCAATAACACGTTGCACTTGGCATATGAAATGTTAAACAGGATATGTTAGACAGTACCATAAGGCAGGTCTTTCTTAAAATGTGGTGTCCTTTTAAAGCACCTATGGTCCTAAACAGGCAATATGTTTGTGTGTGTGTGTGTATGTCTGTAGTAAATATTTAACCACCACCCAATTTCCCACTTTATTTCCCTCATCCAGCATCTACTCGTAAAGGTAAAGGAGAGGCCTTTATTCCATAAATGCCTCTATATGTATTTGGGAGCCAGTATACTTCATCCAACTCACACCCAGTAATTAGCAGAAATTCTAACTTTTGCCTGGGCATGACTGCATCAACAAATCTCACCAATTAACACATAAAAACAAAAGCAGATATGTTGCATTATTAAAGAAATTAAGAAAGGCCATTAAGTCATAATTATAAGCTATCAAGAAGCTTAAAATATGCATAAGAAATTATAAGAAGGATCCTTATTTGGGTTAATAAATAGATCTTGTCTGGACAGCAGCAAGAAGTAGCTCTATGCGAGTGCAAAATAAAAAAAAAGTGGCATTAGAAAAACATGATTATTATCCTGTTAATGATTTAAAAATCCTAAGAAGTATCTTCGTACGATGAAAAATGCCACAGTTGTATAATAAGGCCATGAGAATAAGGCCATTAAAAAAAATTATTCAAAAAGCAAAAGCATCACCATGCAAATTGTAGACATAATAGGCATTGCATTAGGGATCATGAGAGGAGGATCATTAATTTGCAGACTCTTGGAAGCAGAAATATTCATATTTCCACTTACGTAAAATGCATAAATATTGCGTTTGGAAAGGTGAGGGGGGGGGGGGTTAATTCATAGACCCTTTTAGAAACCAAAAATAAAATAATCTAAATGCAGATTACAAAAACAGAGAAGTTGTATTAGGTATGATAAGGAGGAAATATATCCTTAGAATTAGCTTAGATGGAATGCTGCTAGACTATATTAAAATTTAGGTAACTAATTAACTCTTTCAACTCTGGGAAGGAAAAGCAGACATGTTATCATAAATAAGTACATTTTTACAACATTTAGCAATGTTAGGGCCATTGAGCGGGATAAAAGGGGGCAAAATAAGTTGGAAAAGGCAGATATTTTTATATTTTCATTATCTGTCATATTCATCTTCTCTCACTAATCTCATTTAAATGCCAAATATTGATACCATTTCATTTTTTGTTCACATTCTTTTAACTTTTGATACACTTTTATGAAAACACAATTTATACGGCATCAATTATCACTTCTTCTTTTTTCATTCTAAGATTTCAAAATAAAAAACAAGATAATGAACTAAGCACATTTCCACTATGATTTATTTTAAAACACTGAGTCATTCCTAAATTTCTATTTCAATATTTTATCCTACCCTCCATTAACTCAGATCTGTATAGTCCATATAATTCTTGATTCTGTTCTTTCCTTATCCGGTTGAAAACAGGACCTTCTAGTATCAGTGCTTTCCCTTTGTTCTCTCGTACTGTATTTTTCATCTATTTCTTCCTTTCTATCTTCAGGATTTCTTTGCCTGTCTATTTCTTCATCTTCCATATCTTTGTTACAAGATTATGCATACACCATGCTCATTTATAGTCTTATATTAACAAAGAAAAATCCAAATAAAAAAAATCTATAAACGCTAAATATGCTAGATTTACGTTTACAGACTTCACACATTTCTTTTTATTTACGTTTCATTTCCCTTGTGTCATCAGTTGTTGACTTCCCTACAAATTTATTTTCCATTCACTTCTTTGCCTTAACTATTTCGTCCTAATTACTCACATCTCATTTTATTTTTGTCTCTACTTTCATTACTCACTATTCCTTCTTTAACAAAATTTGTATAAACTTTGGTCTGAATACAATATATTCCCCAAGTGCCTCTCATTACCCCCTCCCACCCCCCCCCCTTCAAACCGGCAAACTGACTCTAGTTAACCAATAACCAACAAAATCATAGCCATATGATTTTCCATTTGTTTTTTCTGTTGACCTGATATTATTCTCATCCATGTCATTGGGGTATCAAGCTAATATTTAGAAATGTTAATAGTGCACTGTTGTGATTGTTCAGTTATTAATTATTATCATGTTTTAACAAGCAACATTATAATATTTATGTTTATTTATTCAGCACTACTAACAAGCATTTATTACATGAAATTACTAATTTTATGCATGGTTCATCGTTCAATTAATGTCAAATGCATCACCTTGTTTATTGCTCAGGTTTGAGGCAGGAGCATTGATTTCAATGAAAGAATTACAAATCTACTTAGATTCAGGGTAATCTTGGGTAGTAGCCCACAATATCTCTGAGTGCTACAAAAGGAATGCTATCACCAAATCTAAAGTTAGATTAGAGTTTCTATACCTCCCTGTTTGGGGTTCATCAAATATATTATTCATAATAATATCAAAAACGAATTTATAGGAACTTCTATTCTGGAAAGCCTTTGTTAGATCATGCATCCACTTCTCAATACCAACTCTGAGCGAAACTAACAATAAAGGAATTTTTAAAAAACAAACATGAATTTAAATATTTGTCTGCATTTTTAGAATAATGAATTTCTTTAATTCATGGTTAGGCTTGGCTTTTTATCAATTTTACAATCACTTTTAACAAAATTTCAAATTTTTTTGAAAGTTGCCAACTCCAAACAACAGGCTAGAATTTTCTAAAATTATTTAATAGGGAATGAATTTCTGATGATGCTGATAAATCATTAAATCAATGCTCCTTTAAGCCTCATTTGATTACAGAAATACATGTATGTGCAATATATGATTTAATTGCTTTAGAAATCACATTTGATGCTATGTAGCATCCTCTAACATGAATATAAAGAAAATATGATACACATTCTATTGCCTGCTGATGTATGATGAAGAGCTGATATTGAACTTTATAATCTAATGTCTTGCTTAAATCATTTGTAACTTCAAGAAATATATAATTTATAAGACCTCAATGCATTTGATGAATAAACACATGTCACTTGAATTTTTAAAGAGCATGCAGTTCAATCTAGAAAGTTAATTTTGAAAGCAAATTCAGGGTAAAATGACAATACAAAAAAACATCATTAAAGTCGTAATTAGTATAGGGAATGTAAATCAACCTGGTTAAAAACAACTTGTTGAAATAAAATTCTAATAAACGTACAACACCTTCATTCCATCCTCTGTCTTTCTCTACCTCTAACAGCGATTGACACAAAAGCGCGGCCGTCCGGCACCATCCCTGGAGCCCCCCTGATACCGACGCCCACAGCCCAGACCGTCTCACCGATACCCAACCCCAGCCCAGCAGCAGCAGTAGCACCATAGGCACACTATCCTCTGGGGGCAGTGGTGTAGCCAGGAGGATGAAAGGATGGGGGGGGGGGGGGGGGGGAATGAGACATGAGGGTGCTAGGTTGTGGGTCAATACTGCTCGCGATACTTTTGTCTTCTTTGCAATTTGGAAGCTCTCATGATTGTTATGTATCTACCGGAGAATAAGGGGATGGCTTTTTTACCCCAACCCATTTTTATTTGGGGGAAGATCAGCATTACGGCTTGGAAGCGGAGGGGGAAGTAACATTCCCCTTTCATTTCCATAGATGACACCATCCCTTCCTTAGCCTGTGTTCTATACTGCAAAATGTCCATTCTTTTGGCTACATCACTACCCACTGTTCCTCAATTGTACAACCTTCCTTGCTTTTGCGAGGAAGAATCATTTTAAAATGCATTTACTATAGATTTTGTGTCCTTGAGCGTTGTTAGATCAGCCATGCCAATCAGCATGGCCTAGTCTTTATTCTGAGATTCCTGATTTTGACTCAAGAGGGCGGCATCCAATGACGAGGTCAGCACCTCATTCATTGATGCTCTAGAAGTTTTCACACGAGGGCATTACCGATTTCTTTTCTCGAAATCCGGTAGATTAGCGAGTGGGTTATATGCACCTGTAGCATTACAACAAAATCCAAGCAAGTCAACTTGGTACTTTGAATAAAATTGGTCTGTGTCGAGATTGGAATCCATTTTTCTCCCCTCCTTTTTCCATGTATGTGGTGTGTAAAAAATTAACAAGTTATATTTTAGAATGAAAAGGAAAGAAGGAGAAGTAATGTTGCAAATGTAGTTAGGAATTCATTGGTGAGAGTTGCATTGAAATCAGTGATGCCCATGACAAGCATTAATTGCTTTGTATAGTAGCATTTAAAATGGGCATGACTGATTTGATACCATTAACAGGCTGTGATGCCTTCGCTTTAACGTATGATTTTAAAGAAAGCTTTGAGGCAGGTTTTAAGTTATGATCTAAAGAATGGGTTATATTTTATCATGAATTTCTTAGTAAAGATAATTGAATTCAGTCCTGTTTTCTTTTTTATATGATGACTCGTATGTATGTATGTATGTATGTATGTAGTGGGTACTGACTTTAAACCATATATGAAGTACCCTACGGTGGAACTTTCAATGGTCAACCAAACCTGCAACAAATTAGTTACATGACCGCGTTCGAAGGTCCCTCCCAGCAACTGTTCAAACTATCTTGTCACAAGCCTGAAAATACTTGAAAAATCCTCTTTTCCAAGTATTTTGATTACATTTCACAAGCCAATTGCTACCAGTGGTGTTTATATAGACCAGGGCTGAAAATGGTATACTAATATTTGCACCACACTGGAATGTGTTACAAGTTGTTCATGGCATTCCATGTGGAAAGAAATGTATTCAGTTAAACATGGAAAATCCAAAAGTGGAAGGGTGTTCTCCCTTCAAAGACTTATTTTGTTTTTAATTAAATAAAGAAAGAAGCTCCGACTACAGTGACAAGCTATACTCTTCCCTTCAACAAAATTATTCACATATATTTTTCCCATTTATTCTGAAGCAATGTTATGGAAACTTATAAAATGACTCAAATTCAATTATTTTCACACACAAAAAAAATGAAATTCACCTCATTTGGTAAAGGCTATCAAAGCTCATAAATTCTTGAAAAAAATTATTTTTTGTTTTTGTTAAATAATTGATTATTTTTCATGTTTTGTTCAGGTTAGGTTGACCCACCAAAACAATACTTTTGTTTGATTTAAAAGTATGTACACTTTGTCATGTGGAGTAAAAGATTCTCCATTTGTTACACAGCCAGTCAGGTATTTGTATCATTATATGTAAGGTAATAACTATACTGTGTATTTATGAATCAGACCGTACTTTGGGGACGTGTACAAATGGACAGAATTTTGTAGAAATCTATGATTGTATATTTTGTACCACTTTTTCTTCTTTTTGTTGGATTTCTTTTAACCATGCCAGCTTTTGGATTAAACATTTCAGTATTTACTAAGCTACAGTTATCTATTCAAGCTGAACTCTAAAAATGTTCAGATCCATTTTACAGAGGAAATCTCAGTGAAAGTCTGCTGTTTGTGAGGTTAAATGTTTTTTATAATGCAGTTCAAAGCTTGAAGAATCCTCATTTGCGTTTCAAGAAACGTTAAAGGTGTCTACAAATCGTCAGGCTTTACTTTGCAATTTGTTGGTACCAAGTTCTCTCTTGCGTGTGACTGTGCAGTTAATGGTAATGGACAGTCTACTATCCATCATTCTTATGTGAACAATCCTTATTTTTGTAATGCATTTCCAACAGATGGGGAGAGAGCAATTCACACTGTTGCCAACTTGAAGAACTGCAGTAGTTGTACACACAGTTGTGTTCTACTTCTGAAAAAAAGCATTTGCTGCTAAATGTAAACTTGCCTTTCACACTGCAGATTACACAGGCTTTGTGCTTTGTTTGTGTATACTGCAATATCCAGTTTCAAATCAAAGGGATTATAACAAGATTTATGTTTTGTTTCTCCTGAGTAAGACTTTCTTTACTTTTTTTAAAATCTCCAATCGATATGTTCATTGTTAGTGATTTTACAAGGAACCATAGGATTTTAATGACAGTCTGTGAAGATCATTACATGATTGCTCCTGGAAATAGATACATGCACATACAGATGGTGTAAGCCAAAAAATTTCTATCAATCTTGAAGCACAACAAACCTGCCTTTCAGACAGTAACTTCATGGACATCATTACAAGTTTGCCAGATTTTGTAACACTCTGTAGCAAAGATTTTATAGATATCTCAAATGTATTCATTTTTCTTTTGGCGGGGATAGTTTTTATTTATTTATTTTATTCTTATTTTTTTCTGAAACCACGATCAAGTGGACTTCTGTTTTGTGCAGAAAAGAAGAAGGTGCCATTTCATATCAAAGGAATTTTGTAACATCATCTCTGTGTGCTTGACTTGTGACCTGTCTTTTTAATGTCAGCAATCACTGTTAAAGTTTCTCTCTGTACAGGTTCGAAAGGAAAGAAATAAGATGAAAAATCATTCAAAAGATTTAAACTTTTACTTCTTCCTAGCTACACAAACATAGACCACATTGTACAGATGCTTACCCAGATGAAAACAGCTGAAACTAGTCTGGATTTTTGTTTTCCACTACTTTTTCTTTTTAGTCAGATTCAAAAGGAAAAAAAAGAGATAACAATCCTTCAAAAGATTTAAACTTTTACTTCTTCCTAGCTAAACAAACATGGACCACATTGTATAGATGCTTACCCAGATGAAAACAGCTGAAACTAGTCTGGATTTTTGTTTTCCACTACTTTTTCTTTTTAGTCGGATTCAAATGGAAAGAAAAGAGATGAAAAATTAAGGGGAAAAAAAATGAATTTTTTTCTTCTTCCTAGCAAAACAAACATGGACCACATTGTATAGAAGCTTACCCAGATGAAAACAGACGAATGTACTCTAAATTTTTATTTTCCATGACTTTGGAACTCTGATTTTTATATTTGTGATACAGTACTGTGATTATCAGTGTGTCTCATATGTTTTCTTATGCAGAATTTCAGACAGTGCCCGCTGAGTGGGCCGAAAGAAGTATTTTGATTTTGTATTTAACATGAGATGAGAAGTAACTCATTAAGTGAAATACTTGTAGTATAGTTAATAGAGAGAATTCCCAAAGTAAATTTGATTTCATCCCTTCACTCTAAAGCACATGAGACAAAACAATACCTTGATTGTTAATATAATCACAAAGCAAGTTTTCATGTTGCGATAGTTTTCATCTTTATTTTTTCTTTGCATTGTTGGCCCAGTCCTCTCCATTTATAGGTTGTAATAAATGGGTGTGAGATGTGAAATTTAGATGGACGTTAAATGAGCGCAACACTGTGTTACACTGTGTGTAGCAAGGCTTTCTTAGTTTGATTTTTAGTGATGCTGCATTTTGTAGCACCGGTATATGCATTATATTTAACTGCTATCAATGCTAAACTAAAAGCAAGTGAGGGTGGGAGAGAGACTACCCTGCTATGATATGCATCAATGTAGTAATAGCTACATTAAAAAAAGTTGTCTGGGGAAAGTAGATTTTCCTCTTTTTTTCTGTGAATACCTTTTTGATTACTTGTAAATTTAACCCTTTTTGAAATCATCATGTAGAACACTTGTAAGCCTGACATGTAACATTTCTTTTTTTCATTTAATATTTGGAGGAAATAATTTCCTCTATATTCTTTTGTGAGTTGGTTAGTTTTGATAACACCAAATGTATTTATGTCCAATGTACGTGAGGTGTGCATATAGGAAAATGATTTTATTTCAGTATTTTTTATTGTTAAACACCGAGTGTCAAAATAAGTGTCACGTGGGTTGATTATGATACCTTCTTTTTCTTTCCCCTGCTCATTTGGTGGTACATAAACATGATAATGAATAATAAATATTGAAAATTATTGTTGTCAACACTACCAAGTAGTATGTTTGTATTTTTATTGGTGAAAATGAATAATTTGTTTAACCAGAAGCAGGTGTTTTGATAGACTAGAAAAGAACCATAATAAAATGAACAGAGAGAGAGAGAGGGAGAGAGAGAGAGAGAATTAAGGGAGAGGAGACAGACAGAGAGAGAGGGCCTAGGAGAGGGGGAGCCAGATAAGATCAAGATGTGACGAAATCCGAAGGGAATGCAGAAATGGGAAAATAAATGAGTGGATGCAAAGAGAAAAATACAATTGTCAGATGATGAGATGAAGAGGAAAAACAGAGGGAGAGAGAGAAAGTGAGAGGGGGATAATACTAAAGAATAGTAAGTGAGATTGAGAGGTAAGAGGAAAAGGACATGGGAGGATAGAGAAGGGAATACAAATATTGGAAGAGAAGAAAATATAAAGTGTAGGAAAATGAGAGTAGAAGATAGGACGAAAAGGTGAGATGGGAAAGGAAGAAGATACAGAATAAAAATAAGAGAAGATGAAAAGAATAGATACAATAAAGAAATATTTTGCTGCCGTTTATAGTTCACATATTTTACAATTCAATTCTGATTTACCATTTTCTTAACTAACTTGATGTAGAGACTAGATAGAAAAATATGCTATTTTACCATATCAATTTTCAATTTTGCAGCTCTTGGTACCGGTATACGTATTGGTATCTAAGGCACACGTTCATCATAGCAACGTACAGCGTGTTGACGAAATGGAGTACAGTAACGTACGCGTACGTGAGCGTCAAGTTTACTATTCACTTGTACATGGTGCGTGCGAAATATTTCCGGCCGTGCGCTATGCAACTTATGTACGTAAATTTGGTTCACTTTTCTACACGTAATACCGACGACGAACAATTTCTAGAAACCTGTTTTTTCACGATAGTTACATAAATTGACCTTTTAACAGCAACATTATATTAAAACAGAAATCATGGCAGACAACGAAAGTGTAACAACGTCATCGCAGGACCAGCAAGATGATCCTTTGTATAACCTTTCAGACGACGACCTGGCTCAGCTGTTGGAGGATCTCCAGTAAGTTACACGGGGTTGGCGCCGGGGCGACAGGGGTCAGCTTTCGATAGGCTGCGTCAGCTCCATGAAGATTGAAGCATTGAATCAGGGAAGCTTTTGCTCACGTCGTAGACCTAAATGTCAGATTAATAAACTATTAAACCTAACCTTTTAGGTTAGGTACTGAATGGAACAATAGACATTCATTTATTACAATTTATTTTCTGCCTTTTTAATTAAGTTACTTTCCTAGGCTGTAATTGGTAGTCAAGTCAAGTGTTGTGTTTTCCAGCAGAAAAAAAGATCAGGTGAAACCAAAGACCTGAATGGAATGAATAGACATGCCTTTGATGAAATGTATTTTCAGTCTTCTTGAATTAGTCTAACTAAGTTCTGGGACCTGGCCTGGTTTTATGCAGTTGGTACTATTTTTCTTTCCATTATCTATTTTAGAGTCTGCGGTGAATATCATAAATTGATTTTAGGTCTAGATCTAGACTCTAATCACAGTTTAAGTTGAATTTAGCTGGCATAAATGTGAAGCTAGCAACGTTTCACTTGCCTTTTCTCTCTACTCTTGTCTAACTATATTATATGAATCATTGAAATATTTGTGGTCTTTTTCCTCATTCCCTTTCCCAAGAATGGGCAACAAGGCATTGCTGAATGAAACCGAGATGTTTGACAAGTACCTCAAGCGTGTGGAGCCCAACATGGCTGCCATGGCGACTGTGGCCCCCACCCCGAGTCAGTCAACGCTTGATAATAGAGTGATGCGCAAACGCAGCAAGTCCAAAGGGAGCGGTATAGACAAGCACCTGAAACTCTCCTCTGAACAAAAGTGTGACATCTCTCAGAGAGAAATTGAAGAACTACGCGAGGAGATTGAGAAGTTGAAAGAGGAGTCAGAAAAGGTTCTTGATAATTACAAGGTATGATCACATTAAGAAAATCTCACATGAATTTGAGTCATTTCCCTCATGAATCCAGCCTTTTCCATAACTTGTTCAGACTTAAGAGTAGATCTAAATGACATATATGTTTAAATTAAGAATCAATTAGCTACATCTAAATAACTACAAAATTGTTTCTTTCTTGCTCATGCAACTGGACTTGTGGATCTTTACAGCATTTACCTACTTATAAAATTTAATTTGAATCAAGAATTTGAAAAAGAAAAAGAAATATTTGTGTAGATCTCCTTTTGGTATAAATGTGATTCTGATTGACTACTAGTTTTGTTTACTACTGGTTCAGTTATGTTAGTTTCTTTTTAAATTCACGTTTACACAAAAAGATATATATTCTACCAAAGTATGTTTTTGTGTTGTATTGCAGGCTGTAATGGAGGAAGCAGATACAAGGTGTGCTGAGCTGAAGAAATCTCGCTATGAATTTGAGCGCGACATCCTCAAGGGCTCCGTCAATGACAGAACCAAGAAGGTCGTTGCAGAGAAGGTCATCAGGTACTACGAGGACAAACATCGGTCCAGGGATGCTCTCATTGAAAAGCTAAGGTTGAAGAATTCCACATTGAAAGTCCAGAAGAAGAAACTACATCTTCAATTGAAGCAGGTAGGTGAATCGTTAAAAATGTGATGCATTAAGTCAAGACCAAGTGTATTTGATGCTTGAAGTTGTTGTGTGCAACTGAAGATGCCGGTGACAGAAATGTGCAATATCTTTTTATCTTGAAATACTGTAGCTGAGAGAAACATACTTCAAAAATTCAAGTTGATTATGGGTCAATGTGATAAAATAGACAGATGCTTAATCTTTCTTTGTTTTCCACACTTAAAAAGAATTACAACTTTACCTAGATGTATCATTGTTCATAAAGCTTCAATGAAGGATTTGCTTCACGGCCGAAAGTATTCAAATGCAACTTTAATTTTAATAAATGTCTCAGCAGTATCCCAAATGAATGGTGTTCATTGTATCACATAGTAATCATGAAAAATATAAGGCGATATAGAGAAGTTTCCAGTAAATTCATATGTCAGAGTGCTTTCCTTTACTTCTCTCCTCTGTAGAAAGAAGAGATGGGAGAGGTTCTCCATGAGGTGGACTTCCAACAGTTGAAGATAGAGAACAGTCAGTACCTGGAGAAGATTGATGAGAGGAACCAAGATCTGCTTCGACTCAAACTCATGGCTGGGAATACATTGCAGGTCCTCAACTCCTACAAGGTAATCATCCTGTAGAACTCAATTTATAGCCGATTGATTCGATTTCAACTTCAAGTGTGGATTTTCTTTCACTAAGCCAAATACATTTGTAACCATTGAGCTATAAGCTTCCTTTTCAGAAAATAACATCTGTAAATATGAGTCTTTGGAACATGATTTTACTCTTGGTGGTAATTTTATGGAATTTAAAAATATTTGCATAGACAGTTATTATTGATTATGATTTTTAAGTTACCGGTATGAGTACTGCACTCATTAGTCTCATCATTCTTCTTGAAAATGAACATGAACTTCTTTTCATACTGAGAATTGGTCAATTTATTGAAAGGCACAGGTTTTTTTCTTAGTATTTTCCCCTTTAATAGACAAAGTGATAAACTATCCAAGTCTTTTCACAGCCTTGTAAAATATGTAGTACCAAAAGTTAAAGAAATTTGCAATAGATTTGAAATTCAGTTTACGGAAATCATTTAGACTGCACTAATTTACCAAACTCATGAGCTTTTTAGTTTTAATCTTTTTCATTTTATCAAATGTATGTAATAAGTTTCACATTGCAATCTTTTCTTTTCCATCATTCTTCATTCTCTTTTGTTATTTGTATGTACTGCAGAAAAAGCTTCAGACTCTCACAATGGAATCAGACAGGTTAAGAAATGAAATTTCATCCAGAAATGAACTCCTTTCAAGAATTGATACTGAAACTGAAACAGTTGAGGAGGTGAGTCCAGTAGTACATGTATATTTATTTTGGATAATCAATTTGTTTTAGAAGCAAGCTTTACGGCAAATACTGCACATTTGTCTGAGAATTTAAATACCCGGTAAAAGAATGTTGATTATTAAGAGGCTTGAATATTTTGTTAGCTTTCTCCTGTTTTTATATTAAAATGTAGAATAACTGGCAATGACAGCAATAATGCTCTTGCAATGCTCTCACATTCAATGACTAGAAATGATGTATCACTTTGTTTTTGATGTAGTACCATATAAACAAACTCTTGTCAGCAGTCTCATTTCTTAAATAAACCTCTGTGAACAATTACAAGGATGTTCTGTTCTCTTTGAATTTTGTGTCTATTTAAAAACAAACATTATATAACAATGTTTTTGTATAGCATAAATAGTCAATTATGACTTACTTGCCTTAAAACGCAATCAAACAAACAAGCAGTAAAAATGAAGATTTAGGTGCTTTTTTTTTCCTGTGAAATATTCCATTCAGTCATCCCAATGCATTCGGTATCGCATTAGAGTTGGTTCAAATTACCATGCTTTCTCTCACTCTCCATGTTCACAATGTCTTACATTGTCTTTTTAAAGAAAATAATGTTCTAAAACTCCCAAAAATTTAGTGTCAATCTCGTCAATCTTGTATTTCTTTGTGTCTCCAGGAAAGGTCTTCAGCGGAAGAGTTGAACAGGAGGCTACGGCACCAGCTTGAAGACTACAAGGTTCCTGAGGTCGTCGAGTATGTCCAGGAGAAGGCTGATCTCTATGAGCTTCAGAAGACCGTCAAGAGCTGGGAGAGGAAAGTGGAGATCGCAGAGGTAAGAAAGAATTGCCCATCGCTTATTCTATCTAGGCTAGTACCTACTAATTTCTCTGTAGAGTTGTCTTCAATCTGGAAAGTGAATTTAAAATGTTGACAAATTGAAATATGAAGGTATAGAATGCAGAGATTTGATGTACATTGATTATCGAGTGTAACATGTTGACATAATGAAGTTTTAGACATTTTGCTTGGAGTGGTATTAAAATTTCACTTATCAATCTGGGCCCATGTTTATAAAATCGTACTTAGCTAGTTCTCAACTTATTGCATAGGATACAGTACAATGTTAGTTGAAAACTAGGCTTAGGAAGATTTTATTTATATTGTTCAACTCGATGGAACACAACATTGACAGGATTAATAAGCATCATTACAAAAACACTAAAATTATTTTGAGTTTAAGTACCTTGTTTTCTCTTTAAAGACAATACAATATTACACATACTAAACATTTAGAGCAAGAGAAAGCTTAATCATTTGAACCAACTCAAATGCAATACGAGTCCTGTAGTACTCAGCAGTTTACCACAGCAGGGATAAGCAAGTTTTTAATATTTGATTTTGGTATAGAATTGAAATGTATATTTCATTTCCAACAGGTTTATGCAGACCTTTCTTTAACTAACCAAGCAAGGTAAAAGTCGAACATTGAACTATGACATAATGACAAATAGAAAAAGAGAGAGGAAAAAAAGAGGAATTGAGCTGATTATCTTTTTAATAGAGGAGAAAGAAATTGAAACTACAAATTTGTTGTCCAATATTGCATCAATAAACAAGATGGAGTGATACAAGTTGAAAACTGACTCTGAAGGAACAAGAATATTTAAATGTCTAGCCGTTGCCTAATCTGTTATCCCTTTTCCTTTTTCATTTCTAGATGGCTTTGAAGACGCATCGTAAGACATGGCAACAGATGAGAATGTCAAGTGAACATCAGCAGTGGGGTGTCATGGCATAAACTTCTTCCTCTCCTTACCTTCTGAACTCTTGCTCGATTTATGACATGCCTCTGTATGAAATATGATGCTTGATGTTACTTGTGGAATAGATGATGTCTAGAAGAAGAAGTTATCATCTGAATCTTCCCTGTTCAGGTTGTAATGATTGTATTTAAATGGAGAATTGTGACCGACTTCTCGGACTTAATTGCCACTTTTCCGGTTTGATCTTATTTCTCGGTAGCATACAATCGGATCGCTATAAAGTGGAAAACATACTCTGTATAAGTGTTAAATGCTTATTGCTATCATAATCTCAATTATGAATCAGTGGCACCCCATGTGAGTGCCTTAGCTGTAAAAACACCTTTAGTTGGTGAAATAAGGGGTGACAATTTTTTTTTCATATAGTCCAAGGAGATTATGCTCTTATTTTATTTCTGAATATTTCCTCACTTCCCAATATTCATGTAGCGTATTATCTTGATTATTTATTCGTTAGAGCTATGGCCATTATTTATTCTCTCTCTGTAACATCTGATCTAGACCTTTCCACTAGGCCTTAATTTGTATTATCTTCTATGAATAGTGATACATTATTGTCTTCTGTAATCTGACAATTCATCAAGGAAGTAAGTTTGACATAAAAGAGTGCAAACTTTTAATTAAAAAGATAATGATTCACAAATATAAAATGGTGTTCTTTTACATAGAAGAGCCCCTATTAAGCTGTGGGCATGACAAGGTAGAACTCCTATGAATTTTTACCAGTTGTAATATGGAGGGGTAAATACATGTAATACATGCTGATGATAATAGATGTTGGTTCTTTACACAACTGTTACAAGATTATTCTAGATACTGTTAAACCAGAGAGTTTTGTATTATGACATGTTTTTGATTTGTAAAGAACATTTATGTTCTTTGCAATAAACTTTCGAAAATCACAAGTGTTCAATGTCGTGTGAGTTGTGATTCAGTTGTGTTGTGGCATGAAAATGTCCTGGGCCAGTATTCAATTTGATACTCTGATGTTAAAATGTATGGCTTAGTTAAGTAAAGTGTCTTAACTCGTATTCAGACCACTTTTAAGAAATTTACTTTTGCCAGCAGACTTCATGGCAAATACTTATCTTACTTAATCTTAGCCACTAGTGAAATGCTCAAACATTTTATGCATGCAAAAGTTTCTATTAAATAGTAACATCAATTGCTGTAAAGATTGTTATATTGAAAATTCAAATCTTGGAAATGTACAGCTGTAACTGACGAAGAGACTCATTTAGTTTCTTTGCATGAATATTAAAGTGTGTTCTTTTCAAACGTATTCAGTTAATTTCATTTTACTAAATATTAGACAAGAATGATATACTCCGTCCAACTTCAGTGTGTCTTTAAGAAATAAATTGCCTTGATTAGAAATTTATTCCCAAGAACATTGTAGGAATATGTTAATAACATTTTATATTCCAATTGGGTTCTCAGTGCAGACCACTTAGTCTATTCCATGTATGTGTATATATATATATATATATATATATAAAATGAGTATGGGAAAGTGATAATAATATTCTGTGTAAAAATGTGCTCAATTATTAACATAGACATGAATATATATTAAAGACATGTAAATAAATTAAAGAACAATAATGTACATAAGATGCAGTATTGTTTCACTTTTCAGTGTATGTTTTTTCTTTGTTTATGTAATTCAAATTCAATTCAATTCAAATTTATCACCACTCAAACTGTAAAACATAACTTAAAACAAAGTTGAATATAAAGATCAATATTTTCAAGCATAAAAATTGGTAACAGTGCAAGTGGAAATATATGTTGTATATTCACATTCTTTATCTTTCACTGTTTACTGAAAATAAAAAATATATCCATTGACTGACAAGAGAAAAGTGTCTGTTTTTGTTCAATGCCTCCACCATCCCCATTCTCTCAATTTCTCTATCTCTATCTCTCTCTTTCTCTATCTCTCTCTCTCCCTCTCCCCCTCTCTGTTTTTCTCTTGCTCCCTCTCTCTTACTCTCGCTCTCCCTCCCTCCCTGAGCTCCCTCCTTCCCCACCCCATCCCATCTCTCTCTTTCTCTCTAGTTATTTCTTTGTTGAAAATAATATCCACATATGACTTGGGAATGAGAGATCAGTCTAGTCAAAGTTGTTTAAGATTTGTTTGGGGCACTCACAAATAATCCACCCCCAATGTGCAGAGCTTCAAGACTTGTACATGGCAGTTTCACGAGGATTTTTTTTTAAAATATCACTTCAAACATGAAAAACTTAAGGTCAGAATTGTTATAATATGACTTTGACATATTTTTTTCTCATTTAGCTTTTAGTTTATGCCCCTGAATCTTTATAATTTATTTCATGAAAAGAAAGTTGTACGTACAATATAGCTTAAGTATACCAATAAGGGTATACACTTTGATGTATCGGTTGTTCTTTCCATCACAGTAATTTGCTTGATGCTTATGTTGCTTTAAAAAGTGTATTGATCATTGTTTCAAACTGAAAAAAAGAGTGTTTCAATATAAGCAATTGATCATTTCTAGTGAATTCGAAATAAATATACGGTATATTAAAGCCCCATGCCTAGCTAGCTACTTGCTCCCCCTATATATATATATATAGAAAACTTTTCCAATCGGTGCCTGTTGGTCCCCCATGATTTACTATTTCTTATGTTATTTGAGAGAGTTGATGAAATATAGTCACCACCTATCGGTGACCTCGCTGTGTTTTCTGATCCCTCCTAGCTGGCCAAACTAGTGCAGATAAGCTTAAATAAAATATAGAAAAAGTAATAATTTAATAATTATGATAAATCCTCTTCTTCCCTAATTTTCTCCTTTTCTCCTCCTTACTCCTCCTTTACTCGACAGGCTCAACTTGAGCGTTTCCTACTTAAATAACTTGTTGGGGTTAATCGTACCCTAATTCGCTGTCAGTAATGTAAGTTTGCAGTTTTGTATTTGTTTTTTTCTTCTCTGAACTAGCTCTTATAATTCTTTCGGGCTTTTCATCATCATACATTGCTATCTTTTTTCACAGTATGGCGCCATCCGCGTCATGATAAGTACATTGTTTTTGTACAGGCGCGTTGATTGAACGTCCAATTTTTATCGTCAGACGCTGATCGCAATCTGACATCATCATGAAGCTAGTTAGGTAATTATCATTTTTTACAAGTTTTATTGATCGAGTGATTTTCATTTTATCATATGTTTGACAAATTGTCTATGTCTAGGAAATTTCTATAGTTTAATTTCATTATTTAAACCTAGTTTGTATGACACCCATGAAAATAAACGTGTGGGACTGACTGACAAAATTCTGCTTCAATTTTTTTTGTTACCACTGCCGCGACGTTTGACCTTAATAGAGAAAGGTTTGCAGAAAATTGCAAGCCTTCTCGTGAAATATGCTTTTGGTCATTGAGTGTATACACTCACACTTGCCTTTAAAGACTAAAACGTAGACTATGACCGAGTTTGAGTAGGGCCTAGGTCTAGGGTCGTTGTGTAACTCCGGGAAGCTCCGACGCCGATGCCGAAGCCGTCGGGGCTTCGAGTTCGTGCATCAAAAAACATTGTAACAACGGGTTGGGTGACATTATCTCAAAATATGCAAAGGGAGCAATTACAATTTTGACTTAATAGGTTGTTCGACTCCTCTGGGCATCTAGCCGGCAACTTGAAATTATAATTTGAAGAAGTCTTCGATGGGAAAAAGGGGGTGATTCTTCGTCCTAGATCTAGATCTATATCCCAACGATTCTTCCATGTTGTTTCGTTGATTCAACCGGCGATGAGAAAGTATGCATGCGCAGTAGGGCGTACTTTCTCTTCGCCGGTTGAATCGACGAAACAACATGGGAGAATAGGTCTGGATAGGACGAAGAATCACCCCCTTTTCCCCATCGACGACTTCTTCAAAGTTCAAATTAATAACGTGTATTCACTTCCGGGTTTATCGCGCGATTGGCCAACCATAATTTCATTCACTATAATGTGTTATTGAATTTGGGGTTTCGTTCGTACGCGGAGATGTTACGCGATGTAACCATGGTTTGGACTGAGCGGAGCGCACGCCCCCTAATTAGCTGATCCACCAAATAGCGAGAAGGGTATTTTTAAACTGTTATCAGTTGTGATCCCTGGGGGCTAGCGAAAATATAAGCACATAGAATTGTTCCTTAGGACTGGGACTACTTATCGATCAGGGCATCATATCTCAAAAGTGACAAACCTCAGAGTTAGCCAGGACACAATGTTTAAATTGCTGTTTTGACTAGCCTTAAGGGCTCTCTCGAAATGTTTTTTTAATGATATTATTCGAGAGAGCCTTAAACGGCTCCCATACCCCTGCACGGAGAGGCATGTAAACAAAACTCAAAAGTGGTCCAAAATCACACTTTCGCGCACCCGACCAATATTGGACAGTGGCTTTGATAAATTTTGTCATAGTTTTGGTCTTAATTAGCGCTTTAATTTCAAAATCGGATCTAAAAATAACAAAATAAGAGCAATTTTCTTACCAGACCGATACAGCTCAGCTCCCTTTTCACGTGTACCGTGTGAATTCACGATGTCTACACAATGCATGGTGATGACCTCTGACTGGCACTTCCGTAATTGTGGGTAAATTGTGCTGCTTCCGTATAATGCGCTGTATGAGTGTTATTCAGCGCATTATACGGAAGCAGCACATTTACGAAGTGCTAGTCAGAGGTCATCACCATTGTGTAGACATCGTGAATTCACACGGTACACGTGAAAAGGGAGCTGAGCTGTATCGGTCTGGTAAGAAAATTGCTCTTATTTTGTTATTTTTAGATCCGATTTTGAAATTAAAGCGCTAATTAAGACCAAAACTACGACAAAATTTATCAAAGCCACTGTCCAATATTGGTCGGGTGCGCGAAAGTGTGATTTTGGACCACTTTTGAGTTTTGTTTACATGCCTCTCCGTGCAGGGGTATGGGAGCCGTTTAAGGCTCTCTCGAATAATATCATTAAAAAAACATTTCGAGAGAGCCCTTAAGGCTAGTTTTGACCAAGATATTTTTAGAATTTCGGGGGCTACGCCCCTTTGGAAATATTGGAATTCACCTGCTCTTTCATATGACACCTCATTTATTGATTATCACCTTCAGGATCACAACAGATAAAGGTTTGAATCTCGATTTGAAAAAAAAAATTGACTTTTTTTGCATGGTCGCGCAATGCACGTAGACTGCATAGGGATGTGTGTAATCTCTATGGGAAGAATTTTAGCACACAACATCGGGTGCGCGATCAGACACCCTATTACTTCATTCTCTGAATAAAAGGTCTTTGTATTGTGCCTTAATTTATATTTTCTTATTGAATATTGTTTCTTTTTCTTTCTCCCCAGATTTCTTATGAAGCTCAGTCATGAGACTGTCACTATTGAACTCAAGAATGGAACCCAAGTGCATGGGACAATCACAGGTATGTAAAGTGAATTAATAGGGAACTGTGCCTAGAAAAAGAAGAAGAAGAAATGCTTGAGCTATGGGAATTTATTTTTCTTTGGATGTTAAGTATGATGGGATCATTAGGACGTCTTGGTTGTAGAGATTTTGTTCATCAGGATGAGTAAAAACAACTTTCAAATCTTGCAAATAAACTTGACAAAGTGCAAAACTGATTATGCATTTCTCTTCATCGTTCGCTATCTTGTGATTCCAAGGAGGAAATTTACAGTCTAATTAAAATTAAAGATGACATGTCTATTCTTGATAAGCTAGTAAAATGATCTTTCGGGAGATATTGTTCCTTGTCCAATTTTACGTAATGCATCAGATTATAACAGAAGTTAAGTTAATATGTTTGCTAAAATATGGCCATTAAATTATATCTTTTTTGTATTGATTAAATATGACTGAATTTCATTGTTCATGCACTTTGTAATTTTTCACCAAATTATCACTGAATAGTGATATGTTGAATTCATATATACCGGTACACAATCCTGTTTGGTTGAAAATCAAGTTTGTGTTATGAGTTGCCTTTAAACGGAACAGAACACAGGTGATATGCTGTAAAATATATCATGCAGTGTACAAACAATGGTGGGTGCTACCTAATGAGGTAAATTGCAAGTTACGGTACATTGTCTGTTGATTTTGCGATACTTAAATTTGTACAGAAATATCAGTTCAAAAGTAACACTACAAGGACATGTTCTATTTGCATTCAATCATAATCTTACCCATCTTTTCTCTAGGTGTTGATGTTAGCATGAACACTCACTTAAAATCTGTCAAACTCACGCCAAAGAACAGAGAAACACAGCAGCTGGAATCACTCAGTATCCGTGGCAACAACATCCGGTACTACATCCTTCCCGACAGTCTTCCCCTTGATCAGCTCCTTGTAGACGACACACCCAAGGCCAGGATGAGGAAGAAGCAGCAATGTAAGTCACTGCTACAATGTCATCTTGTTCCATGGGGGTGGGATGGGGTGGGGAGGTGTGGTATTTAGTTTAGTTTTCATTTAGATTTTGGTATTTTCTATGAAGGACCAGCCAAAACAAATACCTGCCATGTGTGTGTGTATTGAGTTTTTACAGACGTGTATCAATCATATATGATCATTTATGTCTGGGGACCGACCTTTAAAGGTCACCATCCAAAAGACACGACTCAGTTTCGTACCTGCGTCCTCGGCTGAATCAGTTTGTAACTTCCATTGTTTGCTGGATTACAGGCGCACGCCACAACGCCTAGTTCTTCAGCTGACATCATTTTAGCGGGATTCACCACAGTTGAAATCAAAGTAAAACCCTCACATAGTGTATTTTTGTTTAAAACAAACAAAGAATTTGAAATTTTGAATGTGCTTTCTTGTGCCACCATGTCTAGGTATTTCAGACTTGTTTCTCCTTTCTGTCAGTAATCTCTATTTCGTTCCCAACAAAAAGTTGTATTGATTTCACCTCTAATTCTCATTTTTCAGCATCAATGGGAGGTCGAGGTCGTGGACGAGGAGGACGTGGAGGTCGAGGAGGTCGTGGGCGTGGTAGGGGTCGTGGTGGTGGTGGCGGTGGAGGAGAGAGAGGTGGAAGGAGATAAACCCAGCGCTTTTCATCTTGTCCGCATCTTTTGTGTAAAACTGTTGTATATGGTTCGTAGTGTTCTATCCCTACTGTTTCCAATCAAACACTGTTTATAAATATTTTCTGTACAGAATGTGAACCTGTGAAATCTCGACAGTGAAAAGTGAGGGGTAGAAATCAGTCATTATTGAAAAGCTGTTATGGAGCCTTTTCATTCATTCACCAGAGTTCAAAGGTTATTTAACTATTAAATCAATATGACGGAGAAACTTGCAGGAGTGAAAGATTTTCAGGATTGTGTAAACATATGGACTTCTTATTGCACATGACACGTGATCCTTCTTTGTGATTTGATTTGTTCTTGTAAAGAATGAGTCATAACAGTACTTATAAAACTGTGTTCTTACTCGTAAGGATGAGATATGACTGTAATTGTAAAGTTGATAAATGCCATACCTTTCTTTAGGATACCATGATGTCGCTGACGAAGAAATTCATGCCATTAAATAAGGCATTAAGGTTTCTGACATATTGATGTTGAATTGTCAACCAGGCAAACAAGACTGAGGTTTGGGCTAATATGTTGCAGATTGGGACTCGTCAGATGTTCTTTCTCATTCTTCTTTCTTTTTGTGCATATAAGTTGGTTTCATATTTCATAACCAGTAACTCATTATGTTGTCCTTGCATTAAATTACTGATGGCACTTGAAATCAAGTGCTTGCAAAGCTTAGCTGTTTGTACAGAAAAAAAAGTTTTAGCATGGCAAACTAAATCCCATTATGGTTGCTGATGCTGAAAATGCATTTCAACATTCTTCTTGACTCGCATACTCGGCACAAAGAAACATTTGGAAGAATTTCTGAGTGTTCTGACAAACGTAAGATAAAGTTGAGTTCTGGTCATGCGATTGCATTGTGAAAGAAACGTTGTGAAATCGATCAGAAAAGGTTGATCATCTAGCATATAAGTATTGGTGTGTACTGAAAGGTTCTGGAATCATCAAAATGATCAGAAATTTGGCCCAGTCTTTTTAAATTTTCAAGTACTGTACACAGGAGGATGTATATGACTACACGAACATGTGGCGTAAAAATCTGTCCAGATTTTTATGATGTTACATGCCGTATTTAGAATATTAAGGCATTTGGAGAGCCATGCTTTTCACAGAACATTTTTTATCTGATGTTCTTCCACACTTGCATAATACAATGATAACGCTCACAAATTATTTTTCACCTCTTCCCAGAACTCAACCTTCTCTTTAAGTAGGAGAACAGGTGGACATGCCATTGTAAATAGGTAGAGATGAGTCCTTGAATTCATTTTTTGTCCAATACCCACCCTAAGCATGGTGAACACAGCCATGTACAGAATCTTGGGGTTAAGAAAAATGTGAGGGTATTTTTGTTTTCAGCTGATAATCATGAAATTCTTTTGTACCATTTTCCCAGTAATTTGTGTAGTATTGCAACCTGATTAAAGATGTTGTTCATACATATTTTGAAGAAAAGAAATATTGACAAGTGTCTTTATTTTGATGATTGTTACAGTGTTATGACAGTTACTGATACCTAAGTCACACTGCTACATCGACTCCTAACCAACTAAAATTGGGCCATTTGGGGTATAGATATTTTTGTCCGGTATGTACTACGTAGTTGGTTAGGTGTCGAGGTTTTGGTTTTGTGACTGGAAAAGTAGAAAAAGAAAGGGAGTGTGAGGGCTAGTTGTTGTAGGTTGCATGTGATGTGTTCTTTGTTGAAGTCACTTTTGCTCTCTTCACTTTTCCATTCCAGGGGAGTGTTTCACAAAGACTAAGATCAACTATGACGGGCCATTCATGCCACCGGTTGCTCTCACTATTGGTCTCTCAATTATAATCTTTAGTGATATTTTTTCCTTCAATAATGAATTATCCAAAAATGGTAAATTCTGTAGATTTGTGACCATGATTTGTACATCCCTTGAGAGACCAATGCCAGTTAACGGTAAGAGCAAACCGTGGCATGAATGGTCTGTCATAGTTAAGTCCAACTTAAAGTCGATCTTAGTCTTAGTCTTATAGCGCTTAGAGACTTCGGTGGTAAGCGCTTTATAAGTAACGTTTTTATTATTATTATTATTATTAGTGAAACACTCCCCATGTCTCTTCTTCTCCCATTTGTTTCAAATTAATATCTTTTTCATTGCTTCGAGTGCAAATAGAGTAAAGAGTGTATTGTAAACCAGAATCTTTTGCATTAGACGGTTAACTAACAAGTAACATATTCAAATTTATGGATGATTCTTTCCTATAGAATTTAGTGACTAGTTATTTCATTAACCTGTTATTAATGAATGATCTACAATACTGGGAATCCAGTCTGCATACACTACTCGTTGCTATGTTGGACAAGCTGACAAGCTTTCAGGTTGTCAAGCACAACTTTTGTTTTAAAAAAATTTGAATAAATTATAGTAAACTGGTCTATTGGTCAATGATGACCATTTTCAATGCAAGAACATCCTGAAATATAACATTTTTGTGCTGATTTTGATTCAATTATCAGGTAAAGTTTGGATTAAGGTTTTTTGTTTGCAATAGTTTCTGGCAATCTGGCAGTAGTTTTGGTGCTGTGTTTGAAGGAGAGGTAATTCTTGTTATACAAAGTAGCCTTTAGTGAAACATTGCATAAACACGACTTACATGTATATGGAGAGGGGCAAGTCTTTAACAGAAAGCTTCAGTCTAATATTGATAGTTCCACTGAGACTGTCTTTCTCCACTCAACGCCTCTGTGAATTGGAAACGTTGACAAATGTAAATTTTATCACAAAATTACCCATACCAGATGGTTACTTCTGCCGGTTATTTATGTCTAGTCAAGTCCAAGCTATTTTGTACCATACGCAACCATCCAAATTTATAGGGAAATCCAACTCAAATAGACAACTACTCTTAAAATAAAGCAGAAAATCAAAGAGGCAAACTGATGAAAGTTTCATTCAACTAAATCTGACTGAATATAAGAAAGTTATGAATTTTTGGAAGTTGTAATCACTTCAAATTGGCTGAAGCGGTAAAGTCAATGTGATGTAGTGGTGGACTACTTTCCCATCTGTTTCAACATATAAAATTACTAAAAATTAAAATGTTTCAAAAAATCATGGCTCAGGAGGGTTTATTCTTTTTAGAGGACCTATAATAATATGCTATCTATAATACAGTTTGAGAAGTGCCCCAAGGGAGAATGGAACGTATGAGAAAAACAGGAATTGGGGATATTTTTGTAAACGGCAAATGGGAGAGTTATCCACGCCCTACGTCATAATCCACTGACCTAAATACCAATCTGAATTTTGCATATATAGAATTAGACTTGTGATCTCATAATTTAAACATTTATAACCGGTCCGATTCATTTCAAACTTTTGTCATTCTGTTTTCGTCATTTTTCTGCTTTCATACAAATCAACTTGTACAAGGGTTGGATTGCCCTTAGCGATTTTACTTTATCTGATAATTGTATCAAGCTGATGGCCTTACTACAGCTTGGATCAGAAAAATTAAGAAGTAAATTTATGCTTCTTTTTTTTTTAGTCGATGTTCTCGATTCCATAATACAATTCTACAATACTTGGTAATGTATGAAACATACTTTGGACTTGTTCAGACTTTAAACCTTTGTTTTGGTAAAGGGCTAAAGAGGATTCTTCTTCCTTGATTGTTTCAAATAATTTGTGTAAAAGCTTTTAATAGAGCCAAATAATCGGTCTTGAGCAATGCATTGGGGAGTTATCCATTTACCTCAATAGTAAAAGTTAAGAATCAAATAGAGACGATGACACTATCCTAACTCGAGATTCCGAAACTTCGTTGCCGAGTTTTGAATTATTACACGGCTTCTAGTTGGCGGCAGCTGGATATATTGATGTCTTGATTTGAACAGATGTTCCTAGTCGATAAAAACTGGCTAATCATTATTCAAACTTCCCAGTTTTGTGTTTACAGAGAATTCTATAGTCAATAGTCATATAACCAAACACCAATTATCTATTTTGATTACTTTTCGAGAAGTATTTCAGCAAATAAAATGCTCCATTATTTGAACGGAATAGCTTTAGAGAGATTAATTAAATTAATAGTCAAATAATTATGGATATTTGTTCACATCTGAAAGCAGATTTTCATTAAATTTCAAAAGGTTAAGAAACCTTCCAATAAATCTTGATTATCGACCTGAAAACAAAGTGTTCCATGACAGATCAAAAACCAATCTCAAGTCCCCCCCCCCTTCCCGGGAGAGAATTACCATGACTTTCTATGGAACCCTTTTAACTTAATAAATATGCACAAGGGAAAAAAGAAAACTATTAGAGATTGTGAAACTTGTATATAGAGCTACTGTACACATGAATGTAGCTTACAATAATAATTGATTACTAACGTATCCTTGGTCTAAGCTTTGCTGCCCTAAAATACTTTGGATGTCAAGAATAGCATTGTTTACATCCAAAGCATTCAAAGTTTTTGATGGGTAATGTAGAGTGTTATAGGTCATCTTACCCTGAAACCAAACGACATTGAGTGATTGATAAAGGAATTAGAAAAAAGTAATTACAGAGCATTGTTTTTAATTGAAACATTGTGGCTCGAATTCACAAAGAAGGTTTGTCGACAAACCGAGGTTTATGTACGTCATATGACGCACGAAAACCAAGGTTTGTCGACAAACCTCCTTTGTGAATTTCGGGCCTATGAGTTACAAACCTTCAACATTGCTAGACCTCGTTTGAAACTTTTTTTTAATGAAAAGGCATAACACTTTATATAGATTATGATGTGACGTATTTATTAGAATCAATGAAAAGCGAACATACATATCAATAATGAATAAACTTAGTATTAATCATAGTTTAATTTGGCACTCGTGTCCATCAGAGAGGTAAACTCTAGCCAATTCTAAAGAAAAATCAAGGGAATTTATGAAAAAGTATTTCATTAACCTCATTTGAATTCGTTTCAAGACATGGGAACCTATGCCCATGAAATGATCCAGAATTATCAGAAAGGGAGAGGGGTCGAATTGTGTGAAAATCATGAAAACTGTCCAAAAATAACAATAAATGCTAGAGAAAGAATGTCAAATGACAGAAATACAAGGTATAGATTTCTGATAGAAAAGAAACTAAAGATTGATTATTATGTAATTGGAAACATTATCTCGGTCATTGCCATGCTATATGCACCTTGACCGGCCATGACAGACTTGGCTGCCCGAACAACCTTATGGCAACAAGTTGCCATCTTCATCGGTCTCCGAAGCCTTGTTGCAATTTTCGCTGTTTGTGTTGACGTTCTTCGGGGTACCGCGGAAGCAACCGAGGATGTAGGGGAAGTCAGCAGTGGTGTGGTATTGGTAGACGCCACCACTATTGTAACGACCATGGCATTCGTCGAGGTCGTCTGATGTCAGCAGTACACCGTACTCATTGACGGGTCCGTAGATGGCAAAGCCGTCGAAGGCGACGCCAACGAGAGGGGATGGCTCTCCTTCAATAATGGTGAAGAGGCAGCTTGATGGCTGCTTGTGATAGTGGTACCTGATGCATGAATATAGTAATAGAAGGAAAAAAGGGGGTTGAAAGACACATCCCAGAAGAAGGAAAGCCCATGATACTGACGGCTTAAAGCCTGTCTGCACTAGTTTGGATAGGAGGGATTAGACCAGCTCCCTACATGGTCACTGACAGGTGGCTATCTCATCAGATCAGCTCTCAATTACTTAGAAAAGGGGGACCATGGGGGACCAACGGTCACATCTTAGGCATTGTTTGCTATAGAGGGCGCAAGTAGATAAAAGTAGTGCAGTGGGGCTTTAAAAGACAGACGGCCCACGTGACCTACAATGCTGGTCTGGTGAACACTCTTGGATCAAGAGTCCAGAGGCCATGCAACACGCCAGACGTGAAGGTCTCTTTGGCTGTTGGTCTCGTGGGCTGTAGCAGGTGATACAGATGGGATCATAGTTTTCTTCTTTTTGTTGGCTACCTCCAAAATTTTGATATCGGCGAAGCTTCCTTTAGTGATGATCTCCCGGGAGGATACTCAGATTTGGTTTGGACGGGGGTGTGCCACTCAAGCCTCGAAATCCCTACCCATTATTAGGGGACACTTTTCTCGAAAAAAGACACATTTCGGGTGTTTTTCGGTTGTTTATATGGCAAACACCAGAGTATTTTGAAAAAAGCGGACCCATTTTTAATGGTATTTTTGTTAAAAGTGGGACTCATGTTTAGGTACGTTTTGTAAAAAAAATCACCCATTAGAGCGGCACACCCCCGTATGTTATAATGTGTGAGTACCCCCCCCCCCCCCCCCCTTAGGCGATGCTATCGCATGCTCTTTCCTTTTATTACTTTCTGATAACCTCACCACACCAAGTCTCTCCATCACATCGATCCCCCTCTCTGGCACCCAGATCTGTTTTCCTTAAATGGTTACAAACAGAGAGCAGATACATGAATATACAAACCTTCCCAGGCCATCTGGATGCCCGTCGCACTCGTCAAACACCTCGGCGCCCTCGCCCTCCACCGCATTCTCGTCGTCAGTATCCCAGGGGTTGTACATGACTATACCATTGGTGGCAATAGCGATGGGTCCCAAAGGAAGGCAGGTAGACTCTTCGTTGACCACGGGATTCTTCGCTATCCGATAACTACACAACACAAAATGGAATTCATTTAAGTTTAAGATTTTTTTTCTTTCAGTAAAGTTTCAGTAAGAAAACGCTGGGATGAATCCATACTATATTCAGTGTGTCAAACTGCATCACATTCGGAAGAAAACAAAAATTGTGAACACAGTGTGTTTATAGTATCATGACTCCTAAAATGTTCAAAATCCTCTTTGTGTTCATGCCAGGTGTGAATACGATGTCTACACTTTGAACATGTTGCAAATCATTTTTTTGTTTTTGTCAAAACTGGGATGCATCATGCATGCATCCCCACAGACCACACTGTTAATTTGTCTGTGTGTCCACAGTGAATGTGCCACATTTCACAATGTGAAAAACAATGTCAACACGGTGTGTTCACAATCATTGTCAACAATTTGAAAATGTTGCAAAATCATCTTTTTAAATTGCCCTGCATCTTTGTAGTCAGGATAAAAGCTGGCTCTAATCACAATAATCCTCTATTATAATTATATCCCGTCAAGATGACATTTCAGATTCAGACATTTGACGGACATGCAAATATTTAGGGCTGTATGTAGGCTGTTGAAAGTAAAGTTCTGGTCAGGCGATTATCTACATTGTGAAATTAACGATCTGGAAACAATAAAGATTGATTCACCTGTGAAGCTTTGGAATCATCAAAATGGTTAGAAAATTACTCGGACTTGCTGAAAATCATTATGCACTGCATACAAAAAGTTGTATAGTACACAGTACGCATAATTAACAAGTTCGGTCCAAACTGTTCAGCTTTTTCTTGTCATATTTCGATAATGAGGGCATTTACAGAGCAATCCTTTTAATTTTCAGCGGACGTTTGTTTTCTTTTATATTCTTCCCGATTTACACAAAACGAATATGAAAGATCATTTTTACCTTTACCAGAACTTTACCTTCTCTTCGATCAAATTGTTGCAATTCAAGTCAATTCAAAGTAATAAATTCTTGCATTTCTTTGTTTTCTTCATATTAACAAATACGCCTACTTGATTTATAAGAGCACAGGAACCACAAAAAATACAAGGATTTATAAAAAATAATTATTAAACGATCCTGACCTGAAGTCTTGTTCTTCGATCTCGTTAGGGTTTTCCCCTCGGGTTGGGAAAACCCCGGTGTCATGGTCGGGAATGTCATTGGATTTGATGAGCCAGATATTTCGGTTGTAACTGGTGACGGACACCCATCCGACCAGGCCGGTGTTCATTTCCGTCTGCCCCGTGGTCACAAAGAGTTCGGCCTGCTCTTCGGAGAGACCGTGTACGAAAGCGATAACGCTGACGAGGATGATAGCGGCTATGGCTCGGAACATCTTGATGAAGCTTAATAATGTAACCGGTATTTGAATACATTATATCACATTCTTTATTATATTCACATGAATGCTTATATAAGTTTCATACGCATCGATCCAGGCGACCTGTAGGCCTATGGATTAGGCTAACCAGTTTTGGCTACCTTTGAGTTACACGATCACGATAACACGATCACGATAACAATACATATATTTGTACAGTAGGTAATATTGATGACAACATTTGATTATCATGGAACGAAAAAAGAAGCCACGATAACTTCCCTGAAGCGTAAACAGAGACTGCCCCCATCCTCCCCCGAAAAGAAAGAAGTTGAGTGATAGTCCTGGACAAACATAAAAGTATTATAATTTAATTCAATTCAAATCAAATTTTATTGGTTGTAAATCCAAACAAATAGGATCATTCTCATTTTTTATTTAAAACGAAAGATAACAAAAATCAAAGTAATAGTGTAACAATGATACTCGTGTGCCGATGTCAAAATTACAATAACCAGGAATGACACAAATTAACGTACTATATCACAAGCATCTTCCGGAATATAGTACAGAAATGAAAATAAATTACATTACTCGTATTATACTTTTTAAAATCTTTCTTTTTATCAGCGAGAATAAGAAAGAAAAAAGATATGAAAGTATATAACAACAAAAATATACATCTATATAATAATGTGTTCAAATTCAAGTTCGAAATCAGTTTTGTGTTAAGAACGGGAAGACAAAATCATGGAAAGATGATGTAGAGACAAATATGAAATAAAAGAAAACAAGCTTCCCGAATGAAGGTTAAATTTATGGAGAGAGGAATAACTAGCATACCTGTCGAGTAAACTTGGAAGTGATAACAGAACAATTTCCTGATGCTTGCCTGCTGACGTCTGCTGTAAAAATGATTAATTCTTTAGCAATCAAACTAGTTATACCCTTGAGTATATGACCGGTATATACAACCATGGCCCAGTGGCTTGTTTGTGCTGGTATAGCATCAACTGGGACGTCATTGATCTTGAGGGCGCGGGGTTCTATACTATTAGTATTATTCTATAAAGTAACTCTAACTATAGCATCAGAGCCATCTATACACAGAGTTTAGCCAACTTGGTTTCACTGGGTCACATGGCGTAACTATATTCTTTTGTTTTGTGCTTGCCTAACAAAACAGTAGGCGCCATATTGTGTCCAATTCGAACCGGGTTGGCCAAACTCTGTGTATAGATGGCTCTGACTAGTATATACACACTATTTAAAGTAATAAGGGTGCAGTTGGTAGATTTTCACCCACCTACGCGTATTTGGCAGAGCTAGGTTGCTACTATTGTAGCAGAATTGCACCCTTATTTATCAATGTGCAGGTGGATTAAATATGAATTTGCAACGTCACTGACTTGAGGGATGGTAGGAGATTCCTTTCCACTCTCCTTATACACCTTTCCCTTTCTTCCTCGCTTTTGCTCGTCATTTTTTAATTCTGCTATTGTAGCAGAATTATAACTTTATTTTCTTAGTGTGTAGGTGGATGAAATATGAATTTGCAATGTCACTAATTTGAGGGATGGGAGGAGATTCCTTTCCACTCTCATTTTACACCTTTCCCTTTCTTCCTCGATTTTGCTAGTCATTTTTTTAATTTGTTCTTTCCGTCGTTCGGTTGGGGCATCTGGCCCCGTGCTCCTATTTCTACGCCATAGTCTCAAGGTGAAAGTTCTTTAAAAAGTTCTATAGCGATACCACAGCCAAGACTATTAGTTTGATCGTGCTGGTATACCCGTTGCGTCAACAAAGTTATTTTAAAGGGCATTTGACGCCTAACCCCTTGGTCACCACCCGGCCCCCTCCCCCTCTGACCGAGTCTAAGATTTAAAAATTAGTAAGATTTTCAGTGTTTTGTATATATTATCACGTTCGTAAATTTCCTCTCCCGATTTTTTTTCCACCTCACCATGGAGGAAAAGAAGAAGATTTATCAGTGTATTTAAATTTCTGAGCACTTTTATCCAAAGAACATGATGATTTATTGTATTCACTTATTATGATCTTCATGAGTTATTGACTGTTTTGTTGCTATGTCAGTAAACTTTGGGGGCGCCAATTGCAACCGTTGTCGACTGATGTAAAGGGGCATGTATTGCGAGGTGGTCAATTAAAACATAAGTGTTTCATTATTTTAGAGTTGATAAGAACATTTTCACACGCGACCGGTCGACGACCAAACAACCGAAAAAGCCAGCAAGACCGAAATTAATTATTCTATCTCACTTTCCTTATAAGTTTTGAGATCTGTTGTTCGATCAACTCTCGTAAACGTTTCGGAATTTTCTATTTTTAATTAATTTGATTTGCCTCATATGAATTTCCTAGTATTTTGCCCATAGGTCTGATGGACTGTCAGTATATTTTGAATGCCTCTTTCCCTCTACTCCACCAACCCTCCCCCTTCAAGAGATATGCATCGACGGAAGACATTTCTAATGCTAGGCCTATTTATTCGCGGCCAGTATTTTCTACACAGGCAGAATTTTCTAGGCTCTTTCTCAAATAAATTGCAGACCACAGCTCTGTTCTATACTGAAGTTGGAATAAAATCTGGATGAAAAATAAAACCGAAGAGGAGGAACCGCAGAATATATCACGGACAAAATTACAAGGACTTTCAAAAATCAACGTAAGGGTAATCCGAATGCCCTATAGTGTATAACCTCTATGGAAGTTCTGATTATGTTTTACTTATACGACTCATTATCCTGCCACAATTATTGCTCCTCGGTCGATTCCCACTCTAACCGAATAGCTAATTTCAATTCTCAACCCAACACTATGCCAAATCCTAACCCTCAACCTAAACCTAACCTTAAACCCGATTATTAGTTACCTAACCCTAGCCCTAACCCCAAACTGTTGACGAAATAAAGCCCGGAGAAAGCACCGCCAGAGATTAATATGTGGGATAGACCTTTATAGTGTTTACCCAATAATGCATCGATTCATTAAAATTGTTCTTTATTGATCTTTTTGACAACAGACAATGACAATGACAATGAAAATGACAATGACAATGACAATGACAATGACAATGACGATGAAAATTTATTCTCATGTCACCCACATTGGGGTATTGGAGAAGTTTACAATCAGTTTGAATTTGTCAATTAAACACTGTGAAATATACAATACAAATAGAATTAATGTTAATCCATACAAAATAACACTATCGACAATAGTGAGAAAAATTATGATGATAATGATAATAACAATATTGATGATAATAATAATAATAATAATAATTAACAAAAAAAAACGATAATATTAATTAAAACGATAATTAATGACGAAATTAATGGAAGCAATTGAAAAAGAAATTTACTGGCACCGGTAAATTGATATCTGAATTAATGAATTACTGAAAATATTCTTGATATCAATTTAATAAACTGATATAAGACAAAAAAGAGAAACATAAAGTTAATATTGAACTCATAACATGTTTTTGCACATACTTAAATTCATGAAAACATTATGCATTATTTTTGGACAGAATTTTACTAAGTTTAAACGTGTTTAAACAGTCTTTTTGACCTTGTCCTCTGTTCATGATACCTATAGTTTCGGACTAAAGAAGTACTCAACCTTCGATATAGAGAATACTTCACATTCAATGAGCTCTACAAGAGGCTACAGAAGGTCTCCTTGTCTCTCACTCCCCCCTCTCTCTCTCTCTCTCTCTCTCTCTCTCTTTCTCTCTCTCTCCCAGGCTCCTTCTTTCTCTCTCTCTCTCTCTCTCTCTCACACACACACACATGAGCACACACACACACACACACACACGCACGCACAACACACAGACCCATATAGACACACGCACGCACACATACCCTCACACACCTTTTTTCCATAATTGTTCTTCTTTTGATTATTATCAATACTCAATGTTCATCATTTTGATATATCTTCATGTTTCAGTCTATCTCTCTACTCCCAACGAAACAAAAGCATAGGGACACATCTTGTACAAACTGATTTTAAAGTCCAAACTCTTTCTTTCGATCCCACCATGACACACCCTGTTGCTTCTATTTTCATGCCAAATATTTGAATTATCAAAATGCAAACGAAAACGTACACCGAACCAGGGAGTTTTATGTTTGTCTACTTCTTTTATTGCGTGCTTTATTTACTTCGGCCTACCTTCAAAGTCAAAGGGTTACATATAATTGGATATGAAAGTTACTGATAATCGTTTTTTATTCTTCTTTTTATCAAGTGTTTTATTGATTATAGCACAACATGTTTTAACAAAGTGTTATGGAACATTATGATTGATAAACAACTGACACTCACCTTTTTGTGAGCATGGTAAACATAGTAATACAAGGCTTGTGAACTTACAGTGTATATAATTACAAGTCTTATTTCTCTTATGTCTATATTACAGTCATTGTACTAATTAACACCTGTATACACAAGAAACACATGTCCTTCAAGCACAAAGAAAACGAAAGTTTCATAACGTACATACAAAACAAACAGAAAGACAAGACACTAACGGAAACGCAAAAACTACCAAAAGAGAAAAAGAAAACAAGAATAAAAAACAACCAACCAAGACAGAATAAAGTTTTATCGGATGATAGCTGATATAATTAAATGGAGTAAGAACAATGTTCGTCCTAAAAACTTAATCTTGAGGAACGCCACATCTCACTTCCTTTGTCCTTGGTACTATATGGACGTACTGATACCTGCCTTCTATATAAAAGTCTTCAAACCATTTTAGTGGAAGACCCCCTATAACATCGTGAATAATTGTATCAAACGCTTTTTATAATCGATACAAATCTCAAGTATAGCTCATCACTAGCTCTACCCGCATCTATTGATTCGGAAATAATGAGGACAAGTTTATCAACGATCATTTTGAACTGTATTTTTTTAAACACAAAATCCATATTGTTGTTGGTAATTTAAAAAAAATTTGATTCTAAAAACTGTATTAACCGGCAATTCGTTATTTTTTTCAAAGAATGTTAGTATAGCAAACACCGGCAAAATCGAAATGTGTCCTTATGTTCCACCAAGTAAGGTCTATATGTGACATACTTTCATTTCGCAATGTATCTGGTAATTATTTTGGACCAATATTTACATATTTGGGAAATATCAATAGTAGATGTCAGGAGTTCATTGTTTTCACTGACCTTTTTGATAAGCCTGCCCACTTTAGCAATTTGTAACATTTTATTCCTTTCCCACTTATAAACTCATTAATGATATCCCATGTCTTATACTAAAGTATTGCATCCGTTTTCATACGAAAATTACTGTAATATGTTCGTTTTGCATTATTTAACACCGTACTTATTTTTTTTCTCACAACATCGTCATTATGATTTGTTTTAAAGACCTACACTCAAAACTTTTGTTTTGCATATTCAATTGATTAATAGGAAAGTTCTGATAGGATCTTATAACAAAAGCTTCAATCACAACAGTCGAAGGATGAAAGAGGTGTTACTATGGTGACGATGTTAAGTGACTTAATGGTAATCTTCGAGGAAGTTGTAGGTAGTCTGTGTATTGAGAAAACCTCCAACATGTGAACAACAGCCAACACTACGTTTTATAGGTAATATATATGCTTTAGTAGATAAGCGTTCGTTTTGCATGATATCCATTGTAAATCTTTGTTGTCGATGGTCCAGCAGGAATTGCTAACTCTCGCAAAGTCCTATGCTGGGAACTAAAATATAATAAGGACACCTTTACTTTGTTTTGCAGTGGTAGTGGCTCTAGTGACAATTCGAGTGACATAGGCCTTGCCTTATTGGCCACTCTTGTATCAGTCCATCTGTGATCAGCGAATCGTCTTACTCCTACAAAGCCTTCTGTTGGGAACTAGGTAGTCGTT